ACAGCAATGTGAATGGAACCTTAGTCTTTAAAACATAGAACCAGATATTTTCATACGCAGTTTCTCATGCTCTGATTCAACTAGGAGAGTTTCTGAATTGCTCCAACTGTCAGTCACCTGTCCCAGCTACTCTGGATAGACCTCACTGTGAACAGTTTTCAATGGAACTTCTTTCTACTGAAGAAATAGTCCCTTTGAAAATTAAATGTGTGTGTTATGTGTCTTAGGAACATGGTGTCTGGAAAGAGATGCTACTTAGATTTTTTTTAAATGTCATTGCTCAGTGCTGTGAGCACCACAAACAGAACTCCGTTCATCCCCTTTAGAGAGAGAATCTCAAAATCGAGGTGGCTAGATATTAGAGAGGTGAGTGAAGAAATATGCTTTTCATTTTTCTTTGGGTGAAACGACCCTTTACAAGTGCAAGAGACATTAGGAGCAGAAAGGCTGAGAATACACAATCAAAGCTTTGGGTCACGGTTGTTGAGATCATACTAATCAGATGAAAGGGTAACATCGAGGAAGGACGGGCACGCACGAGCCGGGCTCGCTGGATTAGAATATAACAGGCCAGTAAACAAAAACAACAGAGCTTTCATTAATTAAGGACCAAGGGGCTGGGTGGGCAGACGGATGGGCGAGGGCTGCTGAGACACTCTGAGCATGGCACAGTGCCAGGCCTCCAACCACGCCAACCAGAACACAGCTGCCTAATGGAGCGCTGGCACTGCCGAGGGACGGGGGAGTGGAGAGAGAGGGAAAAAAGAGAAATAGATAGGGGGAATTGGAGATAACAACTAAATAATCAAGGAATTTGTAGGAGAAAAAAGGCAGAGGGAGGCATGGGCTAAAAGACAAAAGGGGAAGGAAGAAAGAGAAACAAAGTTTGCGAGGGAATTGAGAAGAGAAGGAAACAAAGGCAGATAAAAGGAGAGGGGGAGTGTGTGTGCAGAGGGATAGATGAGATGGAGATAGAGATGGAGATTGGATGATATCCCTCTGACTCTGTTCATTAATACCGTATGATCTCCTTTCTCCGTCCTTTGTGATTTTAACACATTTCTAATTAGCAGAGAATCCTCTAAGTTGGAGCGGGAGGGAGGGAGATTGGGGAAGAGAATCATATTTATATCTGTCTTTAATAAATTCACTTTCATTTGATCTTTTTTTAAATGCACGGGCTGCTGTGCAGCGCCTCTTCTTTCCCCTGACTCTGGCAGAATGAAAGGTGGTGTAAATGCAAGGCTAATTGTTATGCTTGTAAGGAAGCTTGCACAGTAGCTAAAGTTGTTAGATTACAAAAAGTGGAGATTTTCAAAGTTTTGCAGCTTTACAAAAGAACCCACCTCCCCGGTGATTCAAGAGAGAACTAAAGACGTAGAAATCTGGAAATACACAAACATCCTAGTCTGGTGCAGTGCAGGAAAGTCAGCATCTAGTATATTTTTGTTTGACTTTACCTTATCTGCTCTATTTTCTGTCTTCGTAGTGACAATGTCACAATGTACAGCGCATGAGGGAGACTCCCTCCACGCCTTTCACTGAGACTCTTGGCAGCTCGTCTAATCAGAGTGCAATTAGACGGAGACTTCTCTGGGCGACAGAAGACTCTGATTACCCAAGAGTCACTGGGGGTATATTTAGTATCTCTGCTCTTGCTCCTCTGTGGTTAGTAGTAGCGCCCTGGAGCTACGGAGCGAGCTGGTGCATGGCGGAGACATTGGAAGGCGGGACAGGCCGGACTTGGCTTTGGCGCCCACTCAGACTGAGTGAGTGACTTCAACTGAGCTTTAACAATCTCAAGTGGGCGGCTGTGGCTCAGGAGGTAGAGCGGGTTGTCCACTAATCAGAAGGCTCCTCCAGTCTGCATGTCGAAGTGTCCTTGGGCAAGATACTGAACCCCAAATTGCTCCTGAAGGCTGTGCCATCAGTGTGTGAATGTGTGTGTGAATTATTAGTTCCTTTTTGATGTGCAGTTGGCACCTTGCATGGCAGTTTCTGCCATCAGTGTATGAATGAGGTGGATGTGTAGTGTAAAGCACTTACATAAGTAAAGTCCATTTCTACATGGTTTTATTCAGCTCCTGTCCAAATTTGCCTGGTTGACTTCAAAGCATGCACAGGACAACTCAATCATCTTTTCCTCTTTTTATTTTCTTCATTTACTTTAATTCAGTTTGTTTTTGCTTTTAGTAAAATGAATATGAGCACTTGACAGTGGCAGTAGAGTTAATCTGGTTGATAAGCTTTAAAGAAAATGTTCAATGTACACAAATGCTATAACTGTTAAACTAAAGATGGCAGCTCTTTAAATTTGACATGCCCTTTACCTCTTCCCTCAATATGTGCCTTCTGTGAGTTTCATCTCAACAAACAAGGTTAACCTGATCCACACTCTCATTGGTGGGCTTGTGGACGGGCATGATGTGTGTCAGACTTTCATCTATTATCTAACCTGACCTCCTCCCTTAAAGATTATGCAGCACTGAAACAAAGTTCCTCCTTTGCTCTCAGAGACAACAGAGTCATTATTCAATAGTAAGAAGCTGCATGTCAGGAAAATAGAAACATGCTAGATGGTTTTAAGTGTTGGGGTTTTCAACATATTAATATACATACATATTAATAAAGCTATTAATATTCAAAATCATTAATAATAAATAATAAATACGGGGCGACAACCTGGAATCAGGGACCAATAATCAAATATGATCAGTCTAAAAGAGAGTTTGTCCACCTGTAGATGGCAAACAGATCAGGGTGAGTCCGTACACTCTTACTGCAACATTATACACAAATAATCACAGGCAACAACTTCTTAAAATTATAATAGGATTTATTCAACTCAAGCACAGATCAATGATCAACAACTTTAGCAAGTAAATCACTATTAACTATTCTAAATAAAATGAAATAAAGCCAATAAGCAAATCATACAACAATCTGACCACGTGGGTGGTCGCAGATCCGGTTCAGAATGGGCTCGAGGCTGGTTAATTTTGGAATCAAGATGTGATTGATCAAACCATGTGATTTCAAGATCAAGAGGGCGGAAAATCTATCTCTCCTGAACTAAAAAAATGGAGACGCACTCTGATGCTAGCCCGCTGTGGGTCACAGGTGTGGTGAGCTTCTGGTTAGATCATGTGGTGTGCATGTGGGGTTAGTAAGCAGAAGGAGGAGAGAAAGGCACAGAGAAAAGCTGTATACAATATACCACAGTCTATCCTACAGCCACCAGCAGTGAATGTTCATTGCTGGCTTTGGATTAGATAGAATGTGAAATTGTATCTGTTCTCAGCCAACAGCAGCCAGCACCAAAAATCCTAATTACTGTTGCTACAACTTTATCAATGAGAGGGACGGTAGTGAACTTGCATTCAGCTACCGTGTTCCTTGGCTTGATAAAAATACTGACACGTTTCCACACAGTCATGGTACTGGTACCGGACACAAACAACGTGCCTAGGTAAATATCCCTTTGGAGTTTCTTAACAGAAATTCACCACATGAAGCTTGTACAAGTTACAATAACAAAGTTATAGAACTATCTGCTGCCCAGACATACTAAAGCTTCTTGCGTGTCACTTTTGGTAGCGAGTAGATGCGTCAGTCCTTTTAGGAAATCCAGCAGAGTTTTTCTCTCAGATCGGTTCTAACGACGGCAAAGCTGATTCTTCGGCAGCAGCAACAAGAATTCAGTGAAGTCGACGTTGGTTGAGAAGGTAGAACACAGACGTGATCTTCTCAGTTAAGCACAGAGTTTATCCATGTACTTCTGCAGGAATGAAACGTCATCTTCTGTAACAGTTTCTTTAGGGATCCAAAATTGTGTTGGTAACACACACACACAAAAAAAATAGAGGTAGGAAAAGAGAGCAAACAGAGTTGCTCATCCGGCGAGTGAAGTCTGGCCCATTTTTGTTGTCATGGATGTGAGGCCCGACATAAGTGTTCAGGGAAGTCAGTCCAAGAAGTACGATTTTCTAATGAAACAGAAGTCACAAGGAGCAGGTGTAGATGGATTATTGAGCACCCAAAGCACCAGAAACCAGGGTTTCTTGTGTTCCAAGGAACCACACAGAATTTGCACTAAACAAAACAAATACTTTGGCCATGAGGCCAACAAACATCGTTTCTAATCACTGTTGAAAATCAGTCAGTTGATCTGTTTTATGATGTGACTATGCTATGGTTAAGGTTCGGTTAGGTTTAGGGAAAGATGTAAATTTAAATCCTCCGTATTTGTATAGCGCCTTTCTAGTCTTTGTGACCACTCAAAGCGCTTTTACACAAGATCATAGTTTGGGTTAAAAAAAGTACAGGAAGCGGACAGTCATGTCCTGTGAGTTCCAGGGTTAGGGTTCAAAATGGACAGATATAAACTGTAAAGTGATAAATTAACGCTGTGCAAGTATCAAAGAAACAGCCACACAAATGTCTCTAAACTACCCTAGAGGTGGAATATGTTGTCTAAACTGGTGCTTTTAATGGCTGTAAGTAAGGCAAATGAGGAAAAACACCAAGGCACTCTGAATCCATGATAAGGCCTCCTGGTATACCTCCGTTTCATTTGTACTGGTTTGAATAGAATTTGTAATATCACATGATGATCTATAACAACTATTTTTCAACATTCTTTGGCCCATGACCTTGTTTTTAGGCTAAAATTCTCATTAGCCCAGAAATCAACGAGCTGTCAAGTTGTCGTGAATCGACTCTTGTCTAGTCTGTCCATCCTCCTTCTCTACTCTCTATTTAATCTGTCTATCAGTGATCTTTGCATCTCCTCTTTAGCTCTCCCACCTCATCAGTTGTCAGCACTTTGTTGAATAGACCCAGGCTTTCACAGATCAAGGCAGGCATGTCAATAACCATGTCCACAGAGATGAAAGTTCCTGTGAGCTGTGCCTCACAAGTCGGTCAGGTTCAGAAGTTCACAGGCATTATCAAGGCGTAGTGTTGCTGTCGCTGCCAATCATGGTGTGTGAACCCCACAGATCGGAGGCAACCTGAGGACCGTGATCAGAGTGTTTCACCTGTTTGACTACAACCGAGAAGGACACATCCAGCAGCACGAGTTCCGCCGCATCCTGGATAATTACTGCATCCACCTGACAGACAAGGAGTTTCAGAGGTGGGTTTTAGCGTTACACATCTGACACAGTTTGACACAACAACTCAGAAGCATGAAAGGCCACACACACCACACATGGACTGGTAGACTGGACATTCAGGTAGTCAGCATAATTTCCTGTCCCAAAAACCATACATACAAGCATAATTACTCAGTCTACGTCCCTTGCGAGAAATTTTTCCAGCCAACAGGCCAGAATATATAGACAAATTCTATACTTAAAAATGATTCTGGTTTATACAGTTTTTGATGTTTTGTCTATCATTTTTTCATTTCTCATTTCTCTCCATCAGTATCAATCACATTGTATCCATCAAGATAATTGCTGAGATCTGGAAAGGTGATGACAGTGCTTAAAAGAAGTCAGACAGGGCTAAACAATGAGCAGTTAGATGATCAGACAAGTGAACAAGTGTCCAAGTTGGATAAACAAAGGTGAACGGTAAAATTATTACCCAAACTGTCCAACAGCCATCAGAGTTTACAGACCGATTTAAACTTAACCTGCTTTACTTACTGTAATGAGTGAGCTTGGAGTTCAGTACCATTAAACTAATCTGGATCGTCTCTCTCTCACACAAACACACACACTCACACTCACACACACACACACACACAGACACACTGTTACTCCTGAGCTGATGAATGTCTGAACACATACTGACGTATGAAATGTGCATACATACAATCAAATTCTAATCATCCTTTTTTAACATCTGTGCATATGGTAATGTCAAGCAACCAGCACAGGCCTGATTTCCAGTATTCCCTATGGTCGTCTGTCAGCTAGGACGAGATCACTAGCACTAACTTTGTGGTCAGCCTTTGTCTCAGGATGAGAGAGAGCTAATTGACTTTTAAAACTTCAGGCCCTGCAGTCAAATCCACTCCAGAAATGCTGCTAAACTTTTTTGACGCGGCTCTAGAGGATTGCGTGTGACAGGTTCATTTTCAATGGCTTTAATTGCTTTTAGCGTCAGGACTCTCTCTCTCTCTCGCTCTGTTAGAACACATGAAGCCAAGCATAAAGCATGACTTCTTTTATCATCTTGTCAATGACATGGATATGCTTGACATCATTAGTCTGTGAAACAGTAGCTTACATGATCATCCAGCATCTGTTTGCTTCTTTCTAGGTTGTGGAATCACTACAGTCCCAATAACAAGTCCACCATTTCCTACGAACTCTTCCTGGACAAGCTAGGCTTTGGAAATAGCCATAGCATCAAGATTGCTCCAGTCTGCACTAAGCTAGGTATGGATACAGTGGATCAAACAGCCTGTCCTCACCAGAAAAACGTTCTTGTAGGTCGACTGTGTAGCAGCTTATTACAACCCATATACGTTGTTAGTTTTGGCTGTATGACAGGAGCAAAGGAGTCAGGCGACGTAGTAAAAAGACCAACAAAGTAAGCACAGTGAGGTGGATGGGGTAAACAGGTGGGTCAAAAAACACAACGAGAAAGAAAGTAAAAGTCTTTAGTTAAAAAGACTTAAGACTTTAGTTAAAAAACAGGGTATTTTCCTAAAATTGTTTTGTTGCCTGATCCTAACCCAACTACAACAGTTTCACAACGTTGACCAGGGGCGCGTTCAGTCTGAAAAGGTGTGCACCATTTTGTTACAGTTTCTGGGTTGAACGACATATTTCTTTGAAACGGCGTGCAACGCGCCCAATGGGCTTGAAGTTTATAAATATATTTACCACAAAATAATTTCTACTATCAAAAGTTATTCTAAAGATTGTGTGTTTTATAGAGATGTCCAGCCGAGGGACAACTCCACCTGAGAAAGTCAAACACAGGAAGCAGAGACCAGAATCAGTTTCCAGCTCGTGTGATGCCCCATCAGCTCTGCCACACAGGAAGCTGCAGACTCTTTTCTACGACAAGGTACAGACTTGTTTGATCGACGTTGTGTGTTTTATTCCTCCTGTTTGCATGTCACCATCTGGCCCTCTCCCCTGCATTATCCTCTTTAAGATGGAGGGGAAATTGGCTCTAAGTGGCGTGTCAGGATGCAAACGGCAGAGGGAACACTTCTAATTAAAATGTTTGCCCAGAAAAATCAGCTCCTGAGTTAGTGTGCTAATCACGGCTAATTTACGGGGGAAAGGAGTCGAGGCTGGCTCTTCCCTCACATCCTAGAGCTTCACTGGGATCTTCTCCATGGCAACAGAAACCAGAGATGATTCACTTCCTGGCCTTCTTGAGAAGAGAAAGACAAAGCAAGAGAGAGATCTGTCTCTAAAATATGAATGTGTGTACATCAGTGTGTTCTTCTACCTGTCAGATGTGTATGAACTGTACCCCGGTGTGGCAAGCGCTGCAGGCCTTTGACACCACCCGCTCTGGCCTAGTAAAACAGGATGTCCTCAGGGCAGTTCTCAGCAGCTTTATATTTCCCATGAACCCGCACTCCTTCCAGAAGCTGACCAGCTGGTAGGGAAAGCAATATTTCATTTATTTATTTTTCTTTTGTCTTCCATCTTTTGACCTACCTTCTCTGCCTCAACCTCCCTGCACTCCACTCTTTAAATCTTAAAATCCAGCTATCATCTATTCTGCGTAATATAATTTTTATGCGTATGTGTATATGCAGCTATGGTGTTAGAGCAACAGGGCCAGTGAGGTGGAAACACTTCTTGGGTCACTTCATGAGTTTGGTCAAACAAGACGGCAACACAAATCTTCACACCAACAGGTCAGTTTGAAATGATATCTTAAGCCTAATTCACACATGGAACTCCACTCCCAAGGCAAAAAGAAAAGCCAAGAGTATTTGTTGTGACAGGATGCAAAATCTGGTCTTTTGCTTTAAAGTCAGATGAATTTTACACTCACCTACCACCCTGACCTAAGGTCAGAGAGGCACACTTCTTCCTGCATTACCACCTAACTTTAGCATGAATATCCAATGCAGAATTGTCCTATATGAACGTAAACCCTGGGGATAATGGACAGTACATGCACATCCTTTTTACAAGGTCTGTGCTACCTTATTGTTTGTCTTCTGGATTTTAGTTGCCAAACAACTTCAAAGTTCTTTAATTCACAGCTGTTCAGAAGAAAAGCTGCACTGTGTAAAATCTTTTTTTTGTAATTTAGCTGATGCTTTTATCCTGAGCGACTTACAATTGCTATGTATGTCAGAAGTCGTAGGCCTCTGAAGCAACTGTCTTGCTCACGGACACATTAGTGTCACAGTGGGAATCGAAATACTGCTCCCACTAGTACTGTGGCCGAACATTTTGAGAGACCTTTCTAGATCTTGAGCTGGCTAATTTACAGATCATCTTACACAGAACTTTAACTCCAGCTGTTAGTCCCACATCAATATTTACTTCATCACTAAAGAAAGAAGAAATGATTCTCCACTATTTGAGGTGCTGGTGAGGTAAAGCAAGAGTTTCTGGTCGTTGTTTGGAATAATAGGGAATTAACAGCCATATACTGTATCTACTGTGATTTGTCCTTTCCTCTCAGGGCCTTTGAGCAGCCTGCAAAAGATGAAGACAACATGGATTTCCAGGACATTTACCATCGACTGAAAGAGATCTTCCATCTGCTGGACACGGTAGGATTTAGGGCTAGGGAAGTGAATAATCGACTAATATGGAGTGATGAATCTCATACTTTGGACAGGTGACTGAAATGCTTTCAAACCTCTTTCTTATTTGTACAAAAATTGACTCAGTAGATTTTGAATGTTATCAGACAGGACACAGGGGAGTAATCTCAGCAGATTGCTAAGAGACAAAGGCACATGCTCAGGTGTATGCTTTAAATATAAATGCCAGACAGCTTTACAGATGAGCCAATCATCCTCCACAGCTTTTTGATGGCCATAAACATGATTAGATGATTGCATATGGCCACTGGTTAGCCACTCAGTCACTAGCCATATGTTCGTCTGACAGCCATCCCCTTCAACACGCCTCCGCATCCAGTTCTGCCTCTTTAATTTCAAATCAGTCTACTTCAGCTGGATGAAACTTTTGAGTTTGACTAAACTTTGGGGGAAGGGGGGTTGAGTTTTCCATTAATTCACAGTTATGTTTGATGTTGCTGCCGCCACTCACAAAACAAGTCAGCTTCCAAGTTTGAGGAAGTGTGTCTGTGTGTGTACGTGTGTGAAGCCTCTCCCAGATATGAATCACACATATCTATCTGCCAGAATCTCCTCCTTTTAGTGGCATGGGAGGGAAAAAAATCCCTCCATCAACTTTTTTAATAATCTATTCAACGGTGGGAGATCAAACAAGAGTGTCCTCACTGCGCCAGCCAATAATGAGGTTTTTCACTCAGGCAGGTTCTAAGCCAACTATGGTTTTTAGACTATCTCTGGGGAAGCATTTAAGAGCTCAGAAGACTTGCTATGATTCACTGTGTTTTTGTATGATTCACAATCTAATATACAAATCAGATGGATTATGTCGCAATTGTGCCAGGCCATAATTAGTACTATCATAATATTACAGTGTATTATCATATAAGGCACTTAAAAATTGTCTAACATGACCTTAACAAGGAGTGAACACAATATCACTAATATATGTACTCTCAATGTAATCCAATATAATAGCCCAAGGGATTAGAGACTGTAGTTTGTGGCATGTCCCCAGAGATCATCAGGGGTACATCTATAAAACAATCCTGAAGTGTTATATATATATCCACATGACCTTCTCCATCTTAGGATTTTTAAAAAAGAATTGTGTTAAATTATAAATGTGTTTAATGAATAATTCTTGTGCTGCTCAACAAATAAAACTTTAAGTGCTACCGTCAAATAAGAGTCTGACAACATCCAGCCAGCCTGGACCCTCACCAGTTTGCTTTAAGAACCAACAGGTCCACAGAGGATGCCATCTCTGCCCTCCACTCAGCCCTCACACACCTTGAGAAAAACAACACCTACATCAGAATGCTGTTTGTGGATTTTAGCTCAGTATCAACACAATCTCCCCATGAAACTGATCCGCAAACTCTGCACTCTGGGTTTAAATACAACACTCTGCAACTGGATATTGGACTTCCTCACAAACAGACCCCAGTCAGTTCGGATTGGTGGACTCACCTCCTCCACTCTAGTGCTCAAGACCGGAGCCCCCCAGGGCTGTGTGCTCAGCCCCCTCCTGTTCATGCTGTACACCCACAACTACATCCCCCGACATGAAAGGAACTCTGCTGTGAAGTTTGCAGACGACACCACCATCATCGGCCGGATTTCAAACAAAGATGAGACTTCATATCGGGAGGAAATTGATAATCTTGCAGAGTGGTGCTCAACAACCTACTGCTCAACATCAGCAAAACCAAGGAGCTGATCATTGATTTCAGGAAACAGGAGATAAAGACACACTCTCCTGTCTACATCAGTGGCGCTGAGGTGGAGCAGCTGAATAGTTTCAGGTTCCTGGGAATCAGCATCACAGAGAACCTGACATGGTCGTCTCACATCTCCACGCTGGTGAAGAAAGCTCAGAAACAACTGTATTTCTTAAGGAAGCTTAAGAATGCCAAATTCCCGTGCCAAGTTCCTGTCAGCTTTTACAGAGGAGCAGTAGAAAGCATCCTGACTGGAAACATCACTAACTGGCATGGGATGTGCATGGCTCAGGACCGGAGGGCTCTGCAGTGGGTGATTAAAACTGCTCAGAAGATCATTGGTACCCATCTCCGGAGCATCAGTGATAGCGGTGAGGTGAGGAGCCTTCAGAGCCCAAAGGATACTAAACGACAGCACCCACCCAGCCACAGCACACTTTTCCTAAAAGAGCAGGTCTAAACCATACTCTGTGATGATATTTACAGAAACCCAACAGTTCCCACCAAGAGCAAGTACTAGGCAACATAGGCAAGGAAAAACTTTCTGTGAAGAGGCAGAAACCTCGAGCAGAACCATGGCTCAGGGTGGGCGGCCATCTGTCTCGACCGGTTGGGGGTGAAGGAGAGAGAGAGAGAGGGATGGAAGGAGAGAGAGAGGGGAGGAAGCCAGCCTACACAATATACACACAGAGGTACAGACACTAACGGCAATGTTGCTATAGACTGAATGAAAAATGGTACAGATATTTATAGTAGTGTTAATGATAATAATCGTAATGTTAATGATTCTAATAACAATAATAACAATAGGACTAGTAACAATAGTCGTTGCAGCAGAGGGTGTCGAGCAGGAACACGGGGGCAGCAGGTGACCCGCAACCACAGATCCAGACTCCACAGCTCCAGAGCCAGAAAACCTGCAGGAAGTGATAGGAGGAGAGAGGAGAGGGACGAGAAAGCACAAGACTACGGGAAAGGGAAGAAGTCGGGGATGAGATTGCATACAGAGGGAGAGAAAGTAGAGGAGAGAGGAGCTCAGTGCATCATGGGAAATCCCCCAGCAGTCTAGGCCTATAGCAGCATAACTAAGGGATGGTTCAGGACTCACCTGAGCCAGCCCTAACTATAAGCTTTATCAAAGAGGAAAGTCTTAAGCCTACTCTTAAATGTGGAGATGGTGTCTGCCTCCTGAACCCAAACTGGAACCTGGTTCTACAGGAGAGGAGCTTGATAGCTGAACGCTCTGGCTCCCATTCTACTTTTGGGGACTCTAGGAACCACAAGTAACCCTGCATTCTGGGAGCGCAGTGCTCTGGTGGGGTAGTAAGGTACTATGAGCTCTTTAAGATAAGATGGTGCCTGACCATTAAGAGCTTTGTAGGTAGAAGAATGATTTTAAATTCTATTCTGGATTTTACTGGAAGTTAATGCATAGAAGCTAAGACAGGAGAAATATGATCTCTCTTCCTGGTTCCTGTCAGAACACGAGCTGCAGCATTCTGGATCAGCTGAAGAGTCTTAATGGATTTTTTCGAGCAGCCTGATAATAAGGAATTGCAGTAATCCAGCCTAGAAGTAACAAATGCATGGACTAGTTTTTCTGCATCATTTTTAGACAGGATGTTCTTGATTTTTGCAATATTACGTAGGTGAAAAAAGGCGGTCCTTGAAATTTGCTTAATGTGAGACTTAAACGACATGTCCTGATCAAAGATAACTCCAAGATTCCTCACAGTGGTGCTGGAGGCCAGGGCGATGCCATCAAGGGAAACTATATCTTTAGATAATGCGTCATAAAAAAAAAAAAGTGTCGTAATGAGGTGCCTGGGCGCCAGAACAATAACTTCAGTTTAACATTAGAAAATTACTGGTCATCCAGGTTTTAACATCCTGAAGGCACATTTCATCAGGCTTGATTAATAGGTATAACTGAGTATCATCTGCATAACAATGAAAGTTTATGGAGTGTTTCCTGATAATATTGCCTAAAGGAAGCATATATAAAGTGAAGAGGATTGGTCTGAGCACAGATCCTTGTGGAACTCCATGACTAACTTTGGAATGCATGGAGGACTCACCGTTAACATGTAAAAACTGAAATCGATCTGATAAATAGGACTTAAACCAGCTTAGAGCGGTTCCTTTAATGCCAATGAAATGTTCCAGTCTCTGCAATAGGATCTGATGGTCAATGGTATCAAAAGCAGCACTAAGATCTAATAAAACCAGTACAGAGACAAGTCCTTTGTCTGATGCAATAAGGAGGTCGTTAGTAATTTTCACCAGTGCTGTCTCTGTGCTATGATGAACTCTAAATCCTGACTGAAAGTCCTCAAATAAACTATTGCTATGTAGAAAGTCACACAGCTGTTTGATGACTGCTTTCTCTATAGGTCAACTGATACACCGAGCAGGAGAAAGTAAGAGAGCGAGAGGAGGAAGGAGAAGCCATCGCTAGCTGCTAAGCTAAAGTCGTTAACGGCTAAGCTAAAGTACTGTAGCGTTGGCTACCTATACTTTTGAAAACAACTATGAAATTAAACAGCAGTCACTAAAATTGTTTAGCAGACATTTGGCTGCTGTAATGACAAATGTAACAAATAACTAGTATTTAGCGAGAGCAGCATAACACGCTACCAACACACAAGGACCGGAAATGGAAATGAGTCAACACGCTTACTGCAGTACGTCAGCACGTCTCAGGGAACCATCTCAGGGAAGCTCATCTGCATGCCCATCATCCTCATCGGGGTCTTGACCTGACTGCAACTTTGCACAGCCATTGAAGAGGAGTGGAGCAACATTCCACAGGCCATAGTCAACAACCTGATCATCCCTATGCAAAGAAGATGTGTTGCACTGCGTGAGGCAAATTGTGTTCACACCAGATACTGACTGGTTTCGGACCCCCCCAATGCAGTGAAACTGAAATGCCTTTGGAGACAGCGTATGGTAGAGAAATGAACATTCAATTCACGGTCAACAGCTCTTGTGGATATTTCTGCAGTCAGCATGCCAATTGCGCGCTCCCTCAAAACTTGCGACATCTGTGGCATTGTGCTGTGTGATGGAACTGCACATTTTTGAGTGGCCTTTTATTGTGGCCAGCCTAAGGCACACCAGTGCAATCCCCATGATGTCTGATCAGCACCTTGATATGACACAACTGTGAGGTGGATGGATTATCTCAGCAAAGGAGAAGTGCTCCCTAACACAGATTTTGACAGATTTGTGAATAATATTTGAGAGAAATAGGCCTTTTGTGTATATAGAGAAAATCTTAGATCTTTCAGCTCATGATGAATGGGGGCAAAAACAAAAGTGTTGCGTTTATAATTTTGTTAAGTATAAAACATAAAATCTTGAGCGGGGAAACAAGCGACCCCTCTCAACTTGGACTGATCCTCGTTTTTGCTGTAATCTGATTGGCTCAACGGTGCTGATCAAAGAAGTTTACTTTCCATCCGGTTTGTGTTTCAAGGGCAACAGAGGAGGTAAATATGGCGAAAAATGTGAATTTAGAAGAAAAAATGTTGGAATAAGTGGCATTTGTACAGTAGCTATTTTAGCCTTCTAACTGACAGTACACATGACATGTTGATAGTTAACAATATACTGTGACTTGAGCTTTCCACTCAGGTTTGACCTGGTCTTGTCCTGTGCAGTGGTGCATTGCTTATACAAACCGAGGAGGCAGGTGTCATCCTAAAGTTTCTTGAAGGTCTTCAATACCACAAAAAAACTATTAGTATTTTTAATAAAAAATGTTGTGGCACTGTTATTGCATATGGTTATGAATGTATGGGAAATAAAGATGAGCTAAATAAGTTTGTTTATTATCATTGATGCACTCATCTACCAAAATCTATTTGAATGAAAATATTTTAAATGCTTATCAAAAGCAAATATTGATATATGTGATTCATTTTGATTAATTCGATTCATTAATTACAAAACTAGAAACTAGTTACAAAACTTGTAATTAATTAGATACATTTTTTTAATTGCTTGAAAGCCCTATTTATTTTATGTCTATTATTATTATTGACAAGGTCAAACTTCAATTAATAGTCTAACTAACTTTCAGCGCATAAATAAAAAATAAATCATAACAAACGCAGCTGGCACACTGGATGTCTTCATTTTTGACACTTATCACAGAAAAGGTTGCTGACCCCTGGTTTAATACAACAAAAACTGAATTCTTGGAGGGAGATTGGGGACGCTGGGGGATGAAGTCAGGAGGAGGTTATACAGGCTTTTCACCTATGATTGTGTTCATTTGAAGCATAATTTGATTTTTTTTAACACGGTTACTAATTGTTTTCACAAATGATGACTTCAGTACACTTTCAAGTGTTGCAAACAGTCAGTCACGTATGAAATAAATTAGGACTTACTTCTGAAACCCTGACCCTGCCTGATTTATCTCTCACCACTTCTTGTCAGTTCCAACTTCAGTCCCACCTTTGCCCTGACTACACTGTCTATATCGATACTTTTCCATGCATATCAATGATATCTAATATCATATCACTGTGAAACAATACAGTCTATACAGGTTGAAAACGAATGCTGACATAGCCTTTCTTTCCAGAAGGAAGTAGGTTTTATCACTCGAGCAGACCTGCTGCATTTACTGGAGAGACCAGGTGGGACCTGGCCCCGAAAAACCAAGCCTCGCCTTCAACGGTCACAGATCCCAGAGTTGCTCAATGCCCTGGACCCAAAACACACTGGGGTCATCCAGCTGGCAAGCCTGGAGAGACTCAACCCCAGCATCACCTCTGCTCCCACCGGCAACACAGGACCACCACACTCCCCTACTAACACAGCCGGGCCCCTGGAAGTCCTGGAGGAGACTGAAGACACTGCTGTATGCTTCTATAACCATTTGCTAGGGTGCATGTGTGTGTGCACTCTTCCATGTAAGGCCATACATGTGTACTTTTATTCTTTTTCTTCCTCAGGAAGAGCAAAAAACACCAGATGAGAGGCAGACCACGCAGTGTGCTGATAAAGTGTATGTGACATCTGCTTCATGGAGAACAGTGAGTGTGTTACAACACAACATACTGTGATCAAATATCACACATATCACACATAGCGATGAGATCAAACAGAGAAAAAAAACCAGAAGATGAGATCAAAAGAAAAAAGAGGACTTAATTATTAATGTTTTGTTTGATTTGTGTGCGTCTGCTGTAAGCCTGTGTGTGCATTGTCTGTACTTCTATATTAAGGTGGAGAATGTATCGCTGGGCAAGCTGTGTGACCCTCAGCACATTACACAGGAAGATCTGAGGAAGGCCATAAGCTGCAATGGCATGTCTGTCTCAGACACACACTTTAACAAGTAAGAAACATACTCAGACACACGCAGTGCAGAAATCTAAAACTCAAGAAGACAAAAAGAGACGGCAGCTGCAATTTTCAGAAATCACCAGGAAAGTTGCAACACCAAGAACTATGATAACACCCTGGAGAGAGTCTGTCGGTGGGCACTGAAACAGACATTTATATTTGTGTGCTATATTTTTAATATATTTTGTAAAGCTAGGATTTCCATCCATCCATCCATCCATCGTCAACCACTTATCCTGCGTACAGGGTCGCGGGGGCCTAGAGCCAATCCCAGCTGGCATCGGCCGAAAGGCACCCTGGAAAGGTCGCCAGTCCATCGCAGGGCAAAGCTAGGATTTATTTAAAAAACATAATGATAAAGATGCTGCCATGCTTATTTACAGTGGGTAGGTTTGGGTATAAAAAGCCTGTCACTAGTACACCTCATACTACCTCCACTGCTCAAATAAATGATCATTTGATTGTGTTCATTAACGTGACACCTAATTTAAGAAGTGTCAAGATTTCACCAGCTCATTATTTACTGAACGTTACTGAGATGACATTGTGTTTCATCAAATTTGTAATAAGTTAAGGTCACAAAACTCCATGAAAGGATTTAATGGAGGAAACATCTTCGTCAATTTAACAACACATGCAGCATTTAGAAAACGGAGTCAGAAACCAACATAAACATAAATGATGATACACAGACCAGACTTCAATAACTTCTTGAGGCAACAACAAGCTTGACAGTGTGTTTTGTAAATGCTGCACGTGTCAATTTGCGTGTGTTTAATCTATTATGTTTTTTATTTTTAAAGTTGCGCTGTGTTCGCCATTGTCAGCCACCATAACTTTATGTCCTTTAGCGCACTCCCCACTCCTGCTGACCTAGTGTGTGTATTGACTTACTGCTTCTTTGTCCTCATGTTTCAGTGCAAGTTCATAGTGCAAGTTCGTTATGAGGTGGTGAGAAACCTAACATTACACTCAGCTAATTTGATAATTGCTGTGATCTAGATATACATTTTTCATTCATGGTTTGTTGTGTTCTCTAGCAGTAGTTTATAAAGTAGATATTATGGCAATTCATAATACAAATTGTTCTTTGGGTCTCAAGCTGAAAAAAATTGGGAAACCCTGCGTTAGAGGATCAGGAGTTACATCATGGAGGTCAGAGATCCTATTCAGTCCAATGAGAATTGCTCACCTGGCCAATCACTAGGCGCATACTGTACGCCAAAAAGGTTTAGGTAACCCGTGTATATGCATAGGGTCTCTCGATAGGTAGCATATTATCGACAGAACACAGGAGTTCCCGTCCCCATCACAGAACTGAAACAGTTCAGTTCAGCTCACTGACTAGTGAACAGAGAACAGTCAGTCATGAAGGATGAGTGAGCTGAGAATTTAGTTCTCAAGCTTAGTGATTATCCGAATTACCTCCTGTAGTCAGCTAACCGGCTGTCAGTCGAGACGGACTGGGTTTCTTCTGTTGGGGAGTTTGGTTTAAAACGCTGCCAGGTGTGTGTGCCGATTGCCACAATTTTTGCCACCCGTGTTTTAGGCCATTAGCTCCCAAGCCTTGACTCAAGCTTGCATTGTTTTATTTCTGGTAAAAGCACATTCTTTTTATATCAGTTGCAGTGAGTGTTGTGCTAAGCTGTGGCTTGTTTCCTATTTATTTAAATATAAATGTATAACAAATACAGTGATAAAGTTTTCAAAAGTGAACTATACTACTAAGTGAAGATGGAGTCCAGTGTTCCAGCAGAAGTAGCACAGAAAGCAGTGCTACAGGCTGGGAGACCAGTAGCAGCTCGGACAGGATGAGGCCAGGGTGCTGCTGAGAAAATGAAGCGACAGAAAGGGTATGGCTCAGTGATATTTTGTAGAAAATCCTCATCATGTCAATTCTGTAATCATACAACAGAAACACATGCTGTGACATCATGATTTACTGTCACTAGGATGATGATATGCTAATTCTAGTTGTACTGTGAATGATCAATTATTGTTAAATACATACAATCTCTGGAGTTGAACTGAATGATTTCATGTGAGCTTGTTATGTAATGTGGGCTAACGTTAGGTTACACAGCTAACTTACCACAGATAACACAAATTTTGCAAACTGCAGATGACAAGGATGAACCTGATCCTGAATCACAAGCATTAAGTTAAAAGAAGATTCTTAAGGCTACAAGGCTACAGTCCTTTTCCTTGTAGTCTCCTACAGATGAGGATGACGTTCTCATCTCAGTGTGTCAAACACCGACGTTTGAGATAGCTTGCTAGCTAGCTAGCTAGTTAGCAACCGGAACGCTACTAGCGTTTGCAGTCACCCCAGGTTGTCATATATAGATGCGCCTGGAGGCGTCTCATACAGACGTTGAAGCGGACCTTTTGCGTCAAATAAGTTTTGCTACCCTTTCTCAAATCGTATATGACGCCCTCTCTTACTGCAGTAGATATCCTGTCAGCTAATAGGATGAAATGTCGCTACCACCCCCTGCAGTTGTAGCTAGTAAACTGCCCTCAAAAATACAGATCTCTTTTTACAGACTGTTTTGTGTGTAGAAGTCACTGTGTATTTCTGTGGATATAATTTTAAACAACTCAAATGTAAATATACATATTTGGGGATAGTGATAAATTTTAGCATCATAGTACACCTTAGAGGACTGTTTTCTGTGGGTAACAAATTCCAATATATAGTATGTTCATCATCTGTGGAGAACAAAGTTTAGTGGTGAAAGAAACAACTCCTTGTAGCGCTTCTACAGCTGGTGGCTCTTTTTATGTCTGCAGTGACATCATTGCCTCACCTCTGGGGTTTCCCTCCACTTCCGTGAGGGCTCGGCCAATAGAAATCCTTTTTTTGGTTTAAACTTGGGCAGATGACATAAGATTTTGCTGCTTTTTCTTTTTTTCCCAGGCCTTTGTTCTTAAGATGTATGGTTCCAATAGACATGATAGGGCCATTACCTGGGCACAACTTATCACCTGAGCAGATAGCATGTCTTCAATTACTGCCTCTGTTCGTGTAGTGTTCCTTCAGCATCCTAGCTTCACACTGGCAAATCTACAAGCGAGTCCTTGGTGTGTCACCTGAAGTTGCTGAAGTTGTGGTGAAGGCGACATACATCTCATATTACTTGCTGACACTCAGGTGGAGTAGAAGATCCCAGCAGCGCAACCTACTTCCTGTGTCCTGTCAACATGCAGCTGTGTCCTAATTTATCATCTACCATCCCTTTGATGACCCAATACCTCCTCGACTTACCAATAGCATCAAAGACTCTTTTTAGGGCCACAATCAGTAAAATACAATAATTCCAAGCAGCGTTTGTAAAATATACTACATCTGTGTCATGTCGTTATCATTTCATATTGAGCCAAATAAAATAAAATCTTGATCGTTTTGTCAACAGCAAACTACATATTGACAGCTATAATATCACAAAAACATGATGAAGACACATCAGGTGATATACTAACTGTTTCTCTTTAATATTTCAATATAATGTGAAATGCAGAACTAGTATTTAAAGTGATTTCAATATCTGAATTACAAGTAATTCAGAATATTTCAATAAAACATTAAGCAACCTGAAACTAGGCTTATTTGTAGATTCAAGAAATATTTATAATTTAAAGGCTTTTGGAGTTAGTGTTTACAATCATTTAAGTACCTGTGTATGACAACTGTGTATGTGTGTGTGTGTGTGTGATTGAGAGAGAATGAGAAAAACTAAAACTACACCGGAATTGCATAAATTTCACTTTAATGTCTGCTCTCTTCCTTGGTGGCAAGTGTTTTATGGCAGGGATCAAGCTCATAAAAAATCTTCATCCTCATCAAGAGGTTAGTTCACAGCTGCAAGGAGTTCTCTGTGGTACTCCGTTATCTCTCTACAGCCTCTTCCATCCTCTCTGCCATGGACATCGTTAGGCCTATTTTAGGGGGGCTGAAGCCTACCTAACATGGTCCTCCTCCTGGCTGTTTCCTCTGCTTCATAATGTGAATCCCTGTTATGGTCAGGCACTAAGACCCTGAGGGAGGCTGCCTTTCATTGCTGCTCTGCCGAGCTGCTGAGCAATGTTTCTACACACACACACACACACATACATACATGGTGAAGGAAGACTGATTCAGCATAGTGAATGATACAGAGTGAAACTATAAGTTGTTGTTACTGTATTGAACTTAAGCTACATTTACTTGAGCTAAAGGAAAGGGGATGTTTGTATGCAAGCGAAACTACAGAGCAAAATCACACTCTGGTTGAACCAATCCACCTGCAACTTATCTAAGAGAGGGAGGAATTGGACATGGTATTACTTTATCACATTTACATGAGCAGCTGGGTAGCATTTAAGCCAAGGCCTACAGAACAACTCAATTTGGCCTAAGTGAATTCCCCCCAAGCAGCGTAGATGTGACTAAATTGGGCATTGGAACCATTGTATTTTGGTGGGACAAGCAGAGATGCTCACAAGTCTTTGAGCTAGAGTCCAAGCCAAGTCTCAAGTCTCTGAGCAAGAGGCCAAGTCAAGTCTCAAGTCTCTCGTGATTATAACGAATGCTGTATCACCTGCTGCGTTCAATCCAGGTTGCTTATAAAACTGCATACCTATAAGGAATTCTGTAACTGTAACCCTGGCTTATTAATTACTGCAAGTTAACACACACCCCAGACTCTTAAACCCAGTGTAACGTTAACTAAATAAAACTGTAAAATTACATGGTCAACAATAAAGCTGTAACCTGTTTTTAACTTACAGAGCACAACCATGTAATGTGCAATGCAGTCAATGATGTCTTAAACTACTGTAAGTCAACACATCCCCAAATCTCAAACCAGTGTAACGTTATAACGAAATAAAACTGTAAGGTTACATGATCAACTATAAACCTGTAAACTCTTTCTAGTCAACGGTAATTATTAACTTGATGGCAGCCAGCGGGACGTAAATGATTACGTTAATTGACCACCACAAGTTTGGCAAGTAAACAAACGCTCATTCATCTTTTCATAATGAACGACAGTCGGAGCAGACCTCTCGTAGGTCGTAGCTGAAGCACGAAGCAAGCTAACGTTAGATGGCCAATGCTGAGCTAAACATGTTTACTCACCACAGGTTACTAACCTATTTGCATTCAGCGCATCTTTGTTTGGGTCGTCTTTGGTAATGTTAACAATAACCAGAGTTAGCAGCTCTTTGAATCCCCACCAGAGATGAGCCCAATGAGGGTGGTGTCATCCGCAAACTTCAGGAGCTTGAGAGAAGGGGGGAAGAATGCAGCCTTGAGGGGAACCGGTGCTGATGGTCCTGGAATCAGAGAGATGTTTTCATGCTGCTTCCTGTCCGTCAGGAAGTCAGTGATCTACCTGCAGGTAGAGTCAGGCACGTTCAGCTGAGAGAGCTTGTCCTGCAGCAGGGCCGGGATGGTAGTGTTGAAAGCAGAGCTGAAATCTAAAAACAGGATCCTGGCATAGGTTCCTGGGGAGTCCAGGTGCTGGAGGATGTAGTGAAGGGCCATGTTTACTGCATCATCTATAGACCTGTTGGCTCTGTAGGCGAACTGCAGGGGGTCCAGGAGTGGGTCTGTAATGGATTTTACAGAGGTCAGGGCGACGTGTCTTTAGTCGTTTAGTCCAGTGGTACTTGGTTTCTTGGGGACAGGGATGATGGTGGAGACTTTGAAGCAGACTGGCACATGCCATGTCTCCAGTGAGGTGTTAAAAATGTCTGTGAACACCGGAGACAGCTGATCAGCACAGTGCTTCAGGGTGGATGGGGAGACAGAGTCCGGCCCAGCTGCTTTGCTGGGTTTCTGCCTCCTGAACAGTCTGTTGACTTCCCCCTCTGAGACGGAGAGAGGAAGGGAGGGGGTGGAGCTGGCAAACTCTGAAGAGTGGGGGGAGGAGATGGTGGACTGGGGTTGAAAATGAGCGGAAGAGTCACGGGGGATGGTGTCCAATTGACTCTCAAAGCGGCAGTAGAACTGGTTCAGCTCATTTGCCGGGCGAGAGTCGTTGATCTAGTGGGGGGCTTTGGGTTTGTAGTTAGTGATCTGTCTGTCTGTCTGTCCCCCTCCAGACAGAAGTGGCGTCGTTTGCAGAGAATTGGTTCTTTAGCCTCTCTGCGTTCTCTGCAAACGACCACTTCTGTCTGGAGGGGGTTCAGACAGACATTTAGATGCTTTGTTGCATATCATATAATGTGCATGCCGACAGTGTCCATGACGACACTGTGTCTGACGTATATGTCTCATTATGTGTAGTATAACTTAGGATATAAAAACTGAAGTCAAGTATATTACTGTTATTGGCACGTCATGTCCATGCATACATGTGCAGTGCAGTGCACTAATTTGTTCTCTGATATCAGATTTCTGTTCAACTTGGGTTGAATTTACTTTATACGGTGTGCATACGCTTGCTCCAGTCATGTTGCTGAGCTGGTAAGGAGATATACAGCTGAACCGAAGCCATGTTTACCATCTTCTCACTGACCCGCCCTTCTCTGCTTCTGATTGGCTTGTAGTACTTAACTAGGAACTGCACATGTGCAACTCCCAACAAAGATCATTTAGAAACAAGATGTATCACTCCACAGCTAAAACGAAGCCTTCAACACACAGGGTGAAAAGAGGAGTGTTTTGAAACATTGCCATTTTGAAACACCATGTTCTAAAAGTTGTGAAACGTTGCAGTTTGGTTAGGTTTAGGCACAAAAAGTATTTGGTTGGGTTTAACAAAACTACTTGGTTATGGTTGGGAAAGGATCATGGTTTGGGTTGAAATAACTACGTATGTCAGTTAACATGTAAGTTAACTAACGTCACTTATGTCAATTTATGTAACCCAAATAAATATATTTAATGTTGACTTTATGTTTTACACAGGACGAGAACCCTGGTTCAAAGTTGGGGTTCTGGCCCTCCATCCACCCCAACCACCCCCTTACTCAGTCTTTTCTGTTAAATATCATAAACCTACCTTTACTGTCAAAAACTGACGCTACGGGGCTTCCCCCACTACGTTGAACTGTGACAATATCCTATCTATATCTATGAATTTTTGGTTCTTGAAGGGTGGAAGTACAGGATGATTTGCTCTGCTCTCTATTCTCTCTATTGGTCACATGGACTTGTGCATGCAGTCTCTTGACTATAGCCCTGACTACAACATCTTTAATTTATAGCGCACTTCTGCTCTAAACAATCTGCCCTACAGGCCAAGCACATCACCTCAGACGACCCTTCAGTCAGTCAGTGGACAGCAGTCTCCCTCAGGCCTGCAGGTTGCTCCAGAGACCTGCACCATCCTGGACAATGTTTTCCAGAGGATGAGATCGAGGTTAGAGCAACGCCACAGCAGCCTGACTGACTGCATCCAGGCCGTCACGCACAGCTCTGATGGGACACTGTCAGAGACAGATGTATGGAAGGTGTGTGGGAAACAAACAAAAGCTACATGACCATTTGTACAGCAGAGATATACATATTTAGTGTTTGCGATTATAATTCATACTAAAATTTATTTTAAAAGCTGAATGCCATTCTACTGCTATGCAGTCTGACTCATAGCAAGTGAACTGCCGGTACAAGCCAAGTGGCTGAAAAGTAAAGCTAAACCGGAAGTGCTAAAAATAGCAGTTTTTTATATGGCTACTTGTTCTCCGTAGTCAATCCCAATAGACCATATGTTAAAATGTTATGTTGTTAAAGTTATGCATGCATAAGGGTGTGGCTGCTTTGAGTGACAGGTGAGGGGTGCCCTGCTGTCACTGCTATCTGCTGTCTGCTAGCCATCACCTCAGCTGATTCGAGTCACTAAGGTTGACATTGGTTTTTGCCTTTTGGAAATTTTTTCATGCAAATGTCAGACGAATAATATGGCTCGGTGTGCGGTTAAGTGACAGACCATCCAAGAAGGCTGAGCTCCAGGATTTTCAGTGAGTGAAATTCATGGAATGTTATTTTATGTACTGTATGTTAGCAATAATTACATACATAGTTATTAAGCTTAGCTCATTAACTAGCTAACTAGCCAGCTTGGAGCAACGTAAAGCTGTGCTAACAATGCTAACTTAATGAGAGTGTATGCTAGCCACAGATATTAAACAGGTACAGTATGCACCAAAGTTGTCTGTGTGTGGTTGGAAAATAAAGGTCCACCTCGTTAGTTAGCTGATGTCATGCAATATTAATGTTAATGCCATATGGACAATGTAATGTTAACATGAAGTGAATGCTAGATTTGGCTAGATACTGTGATCAGGAAGACGAAGGACCTGCGGACACTATTAGAATAAATGGCTGCACCTGTGCCTGCTAATAAGGTGTAAGGCATGTGAGTGACGTAGTCAGCCATCCTGTTATCTGGTCTAATGCGGATGGCAATTGCGGTGTATTACAGTTTCTGTAGTGTAATGGATTAGACGCTCACCTTCCATGCTCAAGGTTCCTGGTTTGAGACCAGACGAAAACAATGACCTGTATTTTGGTCTCTTATCATGCATTGTGTGATTAGGGTGATGTTCGCTGGTGTGTTAATGCTGGTGGTCCAGTGGGCACTGACTACATTTGACTTTGCCCTTATCCCAATAGCGACAGCTCTTAGAGGGCAATGCCTATATGAAATAGAACGTTGGTTACGTATTGTAACCCCAGATTCTATGAATATAGGCGTAGCCCTCTAAGCTGCGGCCCGACTGGTGCCACCAGCGTTGGCTGAAGAAAAAAAAAAAAGCTGACCTTTTGGGTGCAGATCTCTGGTCTTGCCGGTATTATTATTATATACCCAATTTGCTGACCTAAGAGAGGCCCGTGCACGGCACATGGGCGCGAAAGGAATCTTCAGGACTGCGTATGCGCGCGGGGATGAACCCAATAGCGACAGCTCTTAGAGGGGTACGCCTATACTCATAGAATCTGGGGTTACAATACGTAACGTACGTTGCTTTCACATCCATAGGCTCAGACGTCCACCATCGTGATCCGGTAATGTGCATCACATGCAGCCATCAAAACGAGTGAGTTACTCCCTTTAAAATTAAAGTAGTCACTTCACTCCCTTTAAAATTAAAGCATTTCGGGGGGGTTTGATGGTGACATGTTTCCCATCGATAGCGCCAAGACACATAGGGAAGTTCCAAAAATCCTGTGCAATGCTCCACTGTGTCTGGGACGGGAAGGGGAAGAATTTCATTTAGTACAACGTAATCGCATCACTCAGTCGTCCCGAACCTAAGAAGCTACGTTCACACCCGCTTGGGTTCATTTCCCTTTATCTCCCCTTCGCCTTGACCTTCGGCGTCATACTGGCAATTCAGACTCATTCCCCAAATACTGCGTTCTACTCAAGCAACCATATAAATTGGGTCAGCGTACACCCTTCTTTTCTTCGGAGTCCATGACCCCAAACACTCGCAAGACCCTCGTGAACCAATCGCAACTCTCCCAGAGTACAACACGTCAGATCGTCTCTGAGTCGGTTTCAGTGGCCTTTCGATTCCTGGTGCCACCGCCATTTCCGCCAAGCACTCTTTCTCATCATGCTTTTCTCCCATCCATTACCCCGGTCACTCCTTCAGTATCAGAGCTACCCTTACAGCCTCCCACGTCATTCCCGAGCACCTGATACATATCATGTGCCGCTGGTCCTCCCAAACATACTATGATCACAATCATTCAGATCCCAAAGATCTTAGATCAGCTGCTGATCTAAGAGCTTTTGGGTGTCTGTGGTGCGAGGGTGCTACGGCGGATTTCCCTACCGTAGCTTCCCCACAACGCTTTCGAATGTCTCTTCGGCAACCGCAAGCCTTGTACATCTTCTGTTTTGATCATCTATAAATCATTTAATCATACCTGTTGATTGTGTGGTCCTTGCTAGTGCAGTGGTGCTAATTAGCAGAGTTTCAGGAGCGGGACCACCCAGCTACCACATCATCGCCAGCATTCCCATAAATACCCACACGTCCTAACTCCTCCCCTTCGCTCTCGTATCCTGCATCCCTCCCCCCACATCCCTTTCTCTGTCCTGCCTCCTGATCTTCTTCCTCTCCACAGGGTTATAAGGGGGTCCGTTGTGCCCGGGTGCTACAGCAGATTTCCCTATCGTAGCTTCCCCACAATTCTTTCAAATGTGTCTTTGGCAACTGCAAGCCTCGTACATCTTCTTGGGCCTGTGCAAGTGGTAACAGCTTTGCCTGGCATGGGCCGATTGAGCTGCAGAGTCCGTGGGGTGGTAAAGGGAAAGCGGATAAAGGGAGGGAACGTAAGGATGAGGAGGAGCAGAGGTGGCAATGGTGTTATGACTACAGATGTTATTTTTTGGCAAATATGTCAGAGCTATGTTTAGGCAAATTCAAAAACAGTGACAGTGCCATCTCTAAGCAGTTCACTGCGTTTGGAGGTGGTCTTTAGTTAGCTGCTGTACTTAAAAACATATAATTTCCCCTACGTGTGAAATGAACTCCATCTTTCAAAAACAGTGCAGGACTGTCATGTTTAATGTGAGTGTTCTGAATCAGGGCACCATTTATTCTATGAACAAATGTAGACATGACGCTGTTGACAAGTTTTCTGGCCTTGGCACCATCCTTCCACTGGCACCTTTGAGTCACAGACCAGGGTACAGGAGGAAACTTGTGCAGGTCCTCCTTCATCATGTTGACCAGCTTGACGCTGCTGACCATGTCGTTGCTGCCACAGTAGATGATGAAGACATCTGGTGCTCCTCTTCCTCGCATGGAGTAGAAAAAGAAGGGAGAAGGCCTTTCCACATCAGTCCCCCCACCACTGTCACATCTGGCATGCTTCCCAAGGTCTCTGCAGCTCTCTGGGCACCTTGTTAGACGTAACATAGTCAGCAATGATCCATACTGTGGTTGTAGAGTGTAATAAATTCTTCAGGTAATGAAAAATATAAAACAATCTATAAAAGTGGCTCTGTTTTTCCGTTGATAATACTATTACAGTATGTCACATCTGTAGGAGAAAATGGTACAAGGGAGCAACCCCTTAAAATATGGATGACCGTATTTTCAATCTAAAATCAGCTGTCTAGAGTAAATTGCAGTTTATGCTGTGTGGCCATGACCTCAACAAGGACCGATCACTGAAAGAAATAAACATCTCGCAACAAATATAAAAGTGCCTTTCTTTCTCAGCAGTCATATTCAACATAATAATCTCACACAGCGCTGCTGATAGTGGCATTCAAATCAGCTCAAATCAGTGTGGGAAATTACAAGCTTTATGGTAAGCTGTTATGCACCAATGCATCCACAATGTGAATCAAAGTGCAGATTTTTGAATTTCTTGTTTGGTAATATTCCTTCAATCTATCTCAATTAAGGAATGTACCTACCTTTCATGTCAGAATGATAATGGGTCATGAGTTCAGAGTTGTTATAAATATGTCAAACACAGAAAATCTTACTGTTTTTTGACCAAAGGGCAGGGGGATATGTGATGTGTGAATCTTTGCACAAGCAGATAGGTAAAGAAAGAGAAGTACAGCGTACTGAGGGTGAGAACTCTTAGTAGAAAACAAGCACAAATACCCAATGTAAAAGAGGCTGCAATGTCTACAATTAGATCCTAAAAATAAAAGATACACATGGTGCTCGATACAAGCTGTCTGAATCAATGTTCCTGTTTGTTAAATGTTCAGCAACGGGCATCAGTTTGGTTCTATGAATCATCACATCACTCTACCTGAGCCTCACAATATTCACTTCGGTCCTATTATGTTTCACCCATTCGAGATTCTAACTGATGTTGACTGTGCTGCTACACAGGATCTTTTTTTTTTAGCTTTTTTGAGAGGATAATTCCGATTTATTACCACTTTGTTGTTATTTTCATTATTATAGCTATGGCAAGATTATGATAATATTGTACTAATGTACAAACTAATTAAGATTTGAGAACATTGTGACAAAAACATTTTTTTAATTTCTCTGTATGAATATATTTTGCTGAAAATACTGTACTGTACTACTGTACTATTACTTGTAAAGAAATATATTTACATTGCTGTATTGGTACTTTTATTTAAGTAAAGGAGCTGAGTGGACTTTGCAGATTTGTAATGTGCCCCGAGCTGCAGTCTTTAGAACAACTGTCTGGAGGAACGTCTCAAACAAGCTTGGCCACGCCAACCATGTGTTTGTTTTGATGGAGACAATAAGATATCTGATCTCAGACATATTCGGCTGTACATATCGGATCTAAATAATATTTTTATATTCATTATTTGGTGTGTGGCAAAAAAAAATGCAGTGCTCAAGTACATGAGCAGTCACAGAGCTGCTTCCTGGGCTTGGTTCAGAGGCTTTTTTTTATCAATAAAACAGACGGGCTGAAAGAATTCTTTGCCATAATTTTTTTTTTTAAATGTCAGTTATCAGCAGTTAACATACTGAGTAGATAGGAGCTATGGCCAAAACTATGAGATGAACCCAGAGGTTATAATAAACCAGAGTTATTCTTTAAGAGCTAAAGTCACAGTATGGTTTACTGTGTGTACACATTGAGGTCCTGTATGTTGATTTTAATTGCTAAATAGAAACAAATCCATCAGGAATATAGTGGAATTGTGGCATGGTAAAGTCATGTCCTAGTAAAACGAAACATTATTTGAGTTATTTAAAAAACATGATCATTTATTATCGTTTTGAACAAATGACACAGTGTGACAGAAGGGCTAGAGCAGTCACCCCACCTGGATTTAAACTCAGGTCTACAGGGTACCAAACATGCAACTTGACCGCAACACCAAACTGCCAGGCCTGTTGGTATGACAGTCACAGCGCATACTCAACCGTAGTGACGGTGGTCAGTCACACACAGTAAATACATACATAAAATCAGTATATATCATGTATATATATTTGACTTTGTTTCTTTAATTTGCTTTTATTTAACATTTTAAATCTTTCACAGTTGGTCAGTGAAGGATACAGGTCAAATGTGCTTGTGAATGTGGTTCTGACTCTGAGAAGTCAATGCAACCTGGCCTGAGAATGCCAAACCAGTTGCGCTTTCTCTCCATTTGCTCCCAGATACTAGAGGACAGCTGGGTCATCTTAGACGATACAAATTTCAACAAGTTCACTAAACTGCTGGGCTGCAGGGATGGACGGATTGAGTGCTCACTGTTCCTGGCAAAGTATGAGGGTGAGTTAGAACATCTTGACCAGAGGTGTCCCATCAATCCCATCAGTTCTGCATGGCAGTGTTTTCAATGTTTAAAGAGAGATTTTAAAAATCCCTTCCTACTCCCCACCAGGCTCCCGTCCCCCTCCACTCCTTCTTGCCTTGCATCCAAACTCCTACCCCACCCATGGTGATCAAACATAAGCCCCCCGCTTCCTGTAAAATGATGTCTTTCTTAGCACATGAGCCATTGGAGAAATCATCCTGGATTATAAATAGAGTAAGAGTGAGCCTCTTCGTCTCTCATTAGCAGAGTGAAAAAGCACACAGACACCGAATCGCACTCATTTTTGCTTGTTTGGGCTAATTATGTGCTTTGGAAGCAGAAAACAGAGCAGCAGGGCATCGCACTAATTTGTATCCTCTAAAAAAAAAGAAACACAGTAGAAAGAATAACAAAATAGAGAAGAATCATTAAACAAAACCAGGACGTAAAGTTAGTCATGTTTGCAAGGCATACAAAAGGAGTTTCCTAGATTTAGAATACAAGTGTGCTTCTAATTGAATGTAAATTAGGTCAGGCAGTTAAATGGCCAGTGTGCTTTCCAGACATGAAGGGCATTCTGCGGAGTATGGAAAAACACAAATAAATCACAAAATGGAACACAAATTCCAATTTGTTGGGTATAATTCTCTCACAAAGAGATGGGAATTTAGGGGAAACTGTTCATGTTTATTAAGGGACAACAATGTGCATTGATTAACCTGGGCACTTGCTTAATTATCATCTGCGGTCCCTGGCAGGTTGATGGCATATAAATGACATTGAAAGAAAACATAGAATAAGCACAGACAAACTGTAAAACAGTGACATAACCGCCACCCAGATTATGACAGGATGTTTGTTTGTCCAGAAGCCACTGATGTGGAGAAGGTATTCACCAACATAATTATCAACCATTTGTGAGGTTTTACTCAAACACATCGTTTTCTGTCAACAATGTATGATTTTATCCATTTAATTACATCAGTTAATTGTGTCCTTGATTAAAAGGCCGAATATGTAACATCTCCTGTCCCCATTGTTTCTGTAGAGGCCACAGTCAGAGACAGAGAGCAGGGCTCTGAGGGTCATGGTGAGAAAGCTGAGGTTGATCCCCTGCTATCTTGTGCTGAGCAGTGCCTGGCTGCTATGAAGACCAGGATCAAGATCATTCATGGGGTAAGGAAAATGTTTGCAGGAAATCTTTCAGACCAGCTACAAAATCAGAAATCAGCTGCTTAATAAACATCCTTATTGTTTAATAAAAAAATAAGGATGTCTTAAAAAGAATGATGTGAATTCACTGCTTTTTCAAGATTCAAAAGCAAATAAGGAGAGAGAGAAGGGGAACAACACACAGCAAAGGTCTCCACTTCATACTTTACAGGAAACGATACAGAATTACTCTGTCAGACAACAGTTTTGTTACACAAAAGTTTGAGTAGTCACTAAGGAAAGAGTGAGAAATGAATCAGGAACGACCTTCCAATTAATGAATTGTTAATAAGTAGTTCCAGAATAACTGAATTGATAATGATGAGAAACTCAAGAACAGACTTGGAGATACTGTTACTCTATTACTACTCTGTGTCTGAGTCTCTGTTCCTGTCTAGCACTGGCTGTTACCAACAGTAACAATAGGTGTCATCAAATCAGCCAGGACTAAAACTCTTAAAGGTTCCTATGGAGTTTTTGACCTCTACTAGAACTATGGATCTGTTTTTGTATCAGTAGGTCCCCGTTTTGTTTATCCCAGTCACACACATGAGGATGAGGACATACTGTACATGCATGCATGTGTGCACGTGGGTGACGCAATGCAGAGCCCTGCCAAAGGTTTCACACTGTTCCACTGAACTACAGGTAGCAGTAACACACAGAAATATGCAGCAATGTGCCAACAAAGACAGAGAAGAAGAATCCTGCAAGCAAGTACACATAAATGTCAAAAATGCTGGATTCTAAAACACTTGAAAACTTGGCTTTGCAAATGTTTTATAAGGAAGGAAATGCATTCATTACATTTTTTAGAGGTAAAGTTAGAAACACTGGCATAACTTGAGTTTATTTACAGGAAAACTCCACAGGGCACCTTTAGCGATAATAATGTCTTGGAATGTGAAATCTCTAAGCAAGAAAATATGTTTTAGGATCTATTAGCATGTGCTTTGTAAACAATCATCACACAGTACACACATCTATTCCATCAATGAATGTCTCTGTTCTGAGAACCCAATCTCTTCCCATTAGGACAACCTGACAGCGTTCTGCCTGATGGACAGGAAACATAAAGGCGTGGTCGACTGCCATGATTTCAAAAGGCTGTACAACAGCCTGAGATTTTTCTGCAGGGATGGAGAGTACCAGCGGCTGCTGGATCTGATTGGCCTTCATCCCGGTGGCAACCTCAACTACGCAGAATTTGTTGATGTTGTTGAAAATCATGGCAAACGCAAACAAGGGACACAAAGAGCGAGTTTGTGAGTCTGATATGTTCGTTATTACTGATGTTTGGCAACTTTGAGGGAAGTTGGCTCTTTAGTGTGCTTCTATGTTTGTTTTCTGTCTCTCCTGACAGACAAGAGCAGCTCCATGAACTCCTGGCCTGTGAAGCACGCTACAAGTGGGCAGACATGTCTAAGGTCAGCAACACATACAAAGGCACACATAGAAGGATTCTTTGCATGATGCAGAGATCTGTACCTGTTCCTCATTCCCGTCAGGTGCTGTGCCAGTTTGACACTGATAGTCAGGGTTGGATCCACAAAAATAGCTTGAGGGAATTTCTCTTCACCTATGCTCTTCCCATGAGGTCTGACGAGTTTGACCAGCTTTGGTTGAGGTAAGAGATACCCAGCTGAGGCATACCAATCACCACATCATGCAGTGCTCTTGTCTGCGCCAGCCACAGTTTTTAACTTCATTTTGACAGGTATGACCCAGAGCAGCGGGGCAGTGTAGCGGTTTGTGACTTCCTAGAAAAACTGGGGATTTATCATGAAGGGGAACTCAGGTCTCTGAGCCAGAGGCTAAAGCGAACTGTTGCCCAACCTGACAGACATGTTTCCTCTGATGCTGCCTCGCTGGAATGTATAGAGTAAGTGAAGAAAGGTACTGTGTGTGATAGCTTCTCTGTCATCCAGGTCATAGTTGTCTGTGGAGTGACAATGCCAACAACGGTGATTCAGACTTGTCCTCTGGTGATTTTAGCGACTGTAATGACATTACAACAGCCAGGAGCACTTCAGGTGATGATACATGGGGCAACTTTTTGAGCAATGTTGCTGGGCAATGTTGCTGGTGGTAAGTCATTACCATTCAACTCATTACCACTGACAGCAACATTGCCCAGCACCATACATTAGAGGTCTCTGATTCGTTTTAGATTATTGAACCCGCTATAGTCATTTAGGAAGCAGATTTTCACAAATAGCCTAACAACAAAAAGAATAAAGTGAACAATATAAACAAACATTTTGATTAAGCTTGATATGAAAAAATGTATTATTATTTTTATGATTTATTTAATGGACTTGAAACACACATTTTCACATATTATAAATTGCATGCCATCATTAAGCAAATAAACACAAAAATAGCATTTCAGTGATTTTAAACTTTTAAACTTTAATTGCCTTAATACACTTTCAAACTAAATGAGGTTCAATAATAGGCACAATACACACATAATACACAATAACACAGTTTGTATGGTTTCCTCAATGACTCAGGCAGGACATATGTCCTAATTGTAAAAGAATATATTTATAGATTGATATTTAGAGATGTTTGTTTTCTGAACAAGCTTTGCTCTGGATCCCAGAGTGTCAATACATTTCAATACTGCATATGCTGTTATTTTACTCTCCTAAATTAGCTTCATACCCCAGGGGGTTTGGATAAACAAACATTTAAGCTCTGTGTAGAAACATTTTGCACATGCTGTGATTATTATTGAGCCATTATTAAAATGTGCCATGCAACAGGGCTTAGTAATTTCCACAGATCTGTGGAAGCTGTACAATATGGCAGTTGTTGGGAGGGGCCGCTCGTTTCCCCTGATCAAAATTTAATGTTTTATACTGAACAAAATTATAAATACAGCACTTTTGTTTTTGCTACCATTCATCATGAGCTGAACTCAAAGATCTTAGACTTTCTCTGTGTACACAAAAGACCTATTTCTCGCAAATATTGTTCACAAATCTGTCAAAATCTGTGTTAGTGAGCACTTCTCCTTTGCCGAGAGAATCCATCCACCTCAGAGGTGTGGCATATCAAGATGCTGACAGACAGCATGGGTACAGGTGTGTCAGGCTGGCCACAATAAAAGGCCAAAAGTGTTGCGTTTTTAATTTTGTTCAGTTGATTTCTTTTTGTTCAGCTGGTTAATGCGTGCTTCAGGAGAGGACTTTTCTGAATGCATCTTTTTGTTTTCTGATGATGTGAATAAAAGTTTATGCCAACAATATATGTCCCTCTAAACAGAAATACTTCACTGATAATGAGTATTACAGCAAACCAGCACATGTATCATGTTCATATCATGAGCTCTTGTCCACAGACAGACTCTGCAGGAGAACTATGAAGGGTTGAGCGACTGCCTGGCTCACCTGGAGACGAGGAGCGATGGTACAGTGACAGTGGAGGAGCTGCTGGGCCTGTTACAGACCTACAGCTGCTCCGTCCAGAGAGAGCAGCTTGTAAATCACTTGCGCAGGTCAGCTCCATCTTTTAAATTCTCTGTAGAGACATACATCAGCACTGATATTAAAGACAATCTTACTAAAGACCACAATGAATGAAATACATCGGGGCTTGTGTATTTTTTAATTATTTGAAACATGGCTATTTAAATGAAGAACATAGTTTATGAGTATGAGGTGCTTCAGACTTTTTAACATTCTTTAATGTTTTTTCTTCAGCTGTCCGTCAGTAACATGTGACAGCTTGTGCAGTTTTAAGTAAGCATGCAAACAACTGATCCTTGATTTAACGATACTGACAGACAGTGTTGGGCAAGTTACTTAGAAATTACAATAATTTACTTTGTACTTATTACTCCTTAAAAAAAGTAATAATATTACTTTACGTATTACTGGGTATTAAAAGTAACTAGTTACGTTACTCCTTACATTACTATATTAATTTCATTAACCCTTCCCCCAAAATCCACTTTACTGGAACAATAATTAATATTTACAATAGTTTATTCATTACAGCAGCAAGGAGTATGTTTTTATTGTAAGAAAATCCCGTCTTCTGACTAATGTTTTTCTGCACATTTATAAAAGAAGTATTCAGTATTTATTCAAAACGAACATTAATAAAACGTTGCTTAATGCATCACCAGTGCATTTGGACATAATTTGACTCAAAAATTGAGGGGATCTCGAGTTATTAAAGTATATTCTGTGGGGTCCTTGAATATCTCTATCAAACTACATGTCAATCCATCTAAGAGCTATGATATCACTCAAAACCAAAACATGTCAACCTCATGGTGGCGCTGGAGGAAAGGTCAGGGAGTCACCAAAGTCTGCTTGTCTGTACTAAATTTCTTGACAGCCTGGCCAGTAGTGTGACTTAAAGGTTCAGTGTGTATTTAGTGACATCCAGCGGTGAGGTTGCGAATTGCAACCAACAGTCTAGTCTACCGCTCCCCCCTCCCTCCCCTTTCAAGGAGCTCAGGACAGCTACAGTGGCTGACACAGGACAAAAGGTGTCAACGCCTAAAACAGCAGTAGCCAGTCAAGAAATGACGTTTTCTTAGGTAGATATAATAAGAAATTATATTTACTTAATTATTCAGTAAAACCTATGTCACACCTTATTGTGACTTGGCCACTGACAGATAACATGGAAAATGTAAGCCAAGAGTGTGAAACACTGTCACTGTTTCTGCACCACATGATAGATGAAGTTTATATACAAAGGCATTTTACAACATGGGAATCACATTAATTCTCACTGTGATTATGGACCCTCGTCAAAACTGCCCGCCAGCAATAATATCTGGGTTGTGGCCAGATTATGGTGCTTTGATAGTGGCAAAACATAAAAATAAATACTTTGATAGCGGTGCTGAATAGATCTCAGTCATGACAGCAACTCACATAATCCCTTCCTCTTCCTCTAGTGGTTTTGCCTGCAAAATAAAAGTGCTAGAAAGTTTTCTGCACCAATGCATTGTTTCAAGATGAATTGAGAGCTTTTACTTTGAAAAATTCTGAGTGACATTTAAAAAGAGTCTGTAGCCTGCTTGACACACCTCTGAAAGAGCTTCAGAAAACGTAATTCCCCTAAATGTCCTGTGGCACTTTCTCCCTCATTTTTCTGTAGGCTCAACGTTTCCATGGATGATAATGGCAAGAGGCTATCTTACATGGATTTCCTGTCTGCATTTGACCATAAAGCAGAGAAATGTGAGCCTCCTCCTGTTTCCCCTGATGCTGTGTGTCAGATAGAGTCTTTGTCGGGCCTCAGTCCAAGCGTGGCTGTGGCCAGGATGCGAGAACTAGTAACTGTTTCAGCACCCCATCTGTATAAGGTGAAGCCTTCACCCACATGCTTCGTTTTTCTCTGTCATGAGTTTCCCTTTCAGCTCATCAGCTCTCTGCGGCTCTTTCTGTTCTTCAGGCATTCTTGGCCTTTGACCTGAGCGGCAAAGGGATGGTCAAAGCTCTGGAATTTCGTCAGGTGCTGGAGAACTTTTGTGCCCACCTATCAGACAAACAATACAAATACATGCTGACCAAACTTGAGCTGGACTGTGAGAACTGCACTGTTAACTGGAAGGATTTCCTCCGCAAGTTTCAGTCACAGAGCCCGGTGGTAAGAGATGAAGTTTCCAAAGATACTTAACATTTTTCCCAACATTTTGGGAAATATGCTTCTTTGCTTTCTTTCCAATAAGAAGATTGATTATAATCTGATGTCTGTGAGTTAAGTACAAAGCAGAGGGCAGCATGGAGTTTGCCTAGCTTAGCATGAAGACTGGAAACGGCTATACTGGCTCTGTGAAAAATAAGCCTAAAAACAACTTTGAAGTGACAAATACATCAGCCTCAGCTGTACTCTGTGTGTTTAGCACTAATTAGCAAATGTTAGCACGTTAAGATGGTGAACATGGTAACCATTATACCTGCTTAGCATCTACACTTCAGCATTGTCATTGTGAATGTGTAAGTACAGTCTCACAAAGCGTAGACTCTTAGCTGGGCTATCCACATCCAGAATCCAGCTTTGTACACACAGACCTGAGTTTGATATCCATCTGTTGCCCCGAAATGGTGATCCATTCTTTTAGTTACACGTCATCCCTACCTACATTGGATAGAAAAAGTCTACACACCTCTGTTAAAATGGCAGGTTGTTATGATGTAAAATAATGAGACAAAGATAAATCATGTCAGAACTTTTTCCACCTTTAATGTGACCTATAATGTGAACAATTCAATAGAAAAACAAATTGAAATCTTTGAGGGGGAAAAATGAAAAATAAAAACCCTCAAATAACCTGGTTGCATAAGTATGCACACCCTTAGACTAATACTTTGTTGAAGCACCTTTTGATTTTATTACAGCAGTCAGTCTTTTTGGGTAGGAGTCTATTAGCATGGCACATCTTGATGTGGCAATATTTGCCCACTCTTCTTTGCAAAAGCGCTCCAAATCTGTCAGATTGCGAGGACATGGCCTGTGCACAGCCCTCTTCAGATCACCCCACAGATGTTCAATTGGATTCAGGTCTGGGCTCTGGCTGGGCCATTCCAAAACATTAATCTTCTTCTGTTGAAGCCATTCTTTAGTGGATTTGGATGTGTGCTTTGGGTCATTGTCGTGCTGAAAGGTAAACTTCCTCTTCATCTTTCTAACCGACGGTTGAAGGTTTTGTGCCAAAATTGCTTGGTATTTGGAACTGTTCATAATTCCCTCCACCCTGACTAAGGCCCCGGTTCCAGCTGAAGAAAAACAGCCCCCAAACATGATGCTGCCACCACCATGCTTCACTATGGGTATGCTGTTCCTTGTGTGATGTGCAGTGTCGTTTTTGTGCCAAACATACCTTTTGGAATTATGGCCAAAAAGTTCTACCTTGGTTTCATCAGCCGCGCTTGGATGTTTTTCTTTGTAAGAAAAGGCTTCCGTCTTGCCACCCTACCCCATAGCCCATTCATATGAAGAATACGGGAGATAGTTGTCACATGTACCACACAGCCAGTACTTGCCAGAAATTCCTGCAGTTCCTTTAATGTTGCTGTAGGCCTCTTGGAAGCCTCCCTGACCAGTTTTCTTTTCATCTTTTCAATTTTGGAGGGACGTCCAGTTCTTGGCAAAGTGCCATATTTTCTCCACTTGATGATGACTGTCTTCACTGTGTTCCGTGGTATATCTAATGCTTTAGAAATTCTTTTGTACCCGTCTCCTGACTTATGTCTTTCAACAATGAGATCTCTCTGATGCTTTGAAAGCTCTCTGTGGACCGTGGCTTTTGCTCGGAGATGCAACTAAGAAAATATCAGGAAAATCCTACTAGAACAGCTGAACTTTAAATGATGGCAGGTGTGTAATGACTTCTAGTTAACTTGAGGTGAATGTGATTGGTTAATTCTGAACACAGCAACATCCCCAGTTATAAGAGGGTGTGCACACTTATGCAACCAGGTTATTGTAAGGTTTTTATATATTTTTTTTTATTTTTCCCCCTCGAAGATATTGTTTTTCTATTGAATTGTTCACATTATAGGTCACATTAAAGGTGGAAAAAGTTCTGACATGATTTATCTTTGTCTCATTATTTTACATCATAAGAACCTGGCATTTTAACAGGGGTGTGTAGACTTTTTCTATCCACTGTAGATGCCTCACATAGAGCATGTTTGTGTCTTTCTTCTGTTCATAATGCTGTAGATATCAGCAGAGAGGTCCGTGAGTGTGACCTGGGAGAAAGGGACTAACACCAGATCCCCTATCCAGACGAAGACCTCCGAAATCACAGAGCATCTGCAGGAGATCCAGGAAGTTGTCTCAGGTCATTCATACGAAATCACCAAAGAGCTGATGAATTTGGACCCCTCCAACAGCACTACAATCTCAAAAGAGCAGTTCAGAAAGCTTTGTGATCACCACTGCTTGACACTCACAAATGACCAGGTAAAGCCAGAAAACTGTTTACCACTGTTTATAAACCATTATAATTGAGAGAATTCAAAGAGGAGACACTCAGAAGAGAACGAGCCCATTTTCAACAACTATCCCAGTGCTTAAAAGCTGAAAGCACACATACTGGCATCATTCCATGGGAACAAATGAGAAGATGAATCTGAGTTTTGGCACATCCCATTCTTCTTAGTCTGATATGTTTTCTTTAATTATTCTAATCAAAATCGAATTTATCTTTGCTGATAATTATTGACTGTGCGAGAAAGTTAGTCATCTGTAAAGCCATTTACGTACTGTGTGTATCTCTCTTTCGGGTATTAGTCCCCTGCAGTTTGGATGATTATGTGTGTTTCCTTTTGCTTCTCAGTTTGAGTGTGTGTGGAGTCAGATGCCAGTGAATGAGCAGAAGAAGCTGCAATGCAGAAAGTTTCTCTGGCACTTTGGCGCTTTGGGCAGGACCCCCCACACAAAGGTAGGGGGTACCACCAGCAACGTCCCATCGCCTTCCCCTGAGCCTGGAGAAACAGTCTCAGCAACAATATCTTGTTGCCCAGAGACCGCAGGTGCCATTCTGCAACGCACTAAGGTACAGCACATGACAGGATATACCTAAATACTGCAGCATGATCTGTGATGCATGAAGACACCAGCTGTTTCGCAAAACCAGACAAGCTCAGGTTGTTGCTACAGGAAGTCTGGAATCTACTGAATCATTTCTGTGCCTTTCGTGTGTGCAAAAGCTTAAATTATATCTTGGAGAGAAATGATCAAATAAAACTATTCTAAACAAATGTATATGTGTATTTGTGATTATCCACACAAGCACACAATAACCTCTCTTACTCAGTTTCACTTGTTCGATCCCTGTCAAATTCCTGCTCTGTGCACTTACAACAGATGTGAGATTTGAAATTGGTGCCCCCCAATTCAGGTTGCTTCAGTATGATTCAGCATACTTGTCAACCTCCACATCATAGCCTAAATTGGGAGACCAAACCTAACCTGGTATCTGGTAAAGTGTCCCCCCATAAACCGTGTGTCAACCCAGAGACTGTTTTCTTGCATTATAGCGAATTTACAAGGTAATTTTCCTGAAAAACAAGAGCATTGGTTTAATTTCCACTGTGGAGGGAATACAAATGAAGAGGAGGGTCTGGGTGTCCTCCCCCAGAAAATTTTAAGCATTAAAGACTTCCTGTATTCTGGTGAAAATTTCTGCACCAATTTGTGGTGGAAATTGTCTTAATCTATGTAAAGGGAAACATAATATTCAAAATTAATTAAAAAATAATCGAATGTAATACAGTAAGGCTCTATGGCAATCTGTAGCTATTACTTTTAAATAGCCTATATTTCTGCTGTTTTCAAATTTAATAAAATTCCCGTTGATTGAGTACACACTAGCCTTCCCTCCTGTTTTGAGTATCTACATGGGGAAGTAACCTCTTTAAATGTGCATGTGACACCTCTTCACTTCAATGAGAAATGAATTCATTTTAATTCAGTTAGAAACTCCTGGATTTGTTCCGGTCTTTCAGCAGGTTTTCTGCTCACGTTCAAAACTTTCTGCACAGTCAGAAGCTCTTCCACATATCTGTTTTCTCTGACAGAAAAAAGTCCCAATATTAAGAGACTAACGTTGCTATCTGCCCTATACTTTTCTCTGCATTACGTTATTGCTCTGATAGTAGGCTATCCTCTTTAGTCCGTTTGACTGACACTGTGTGGGACTGCATGCTGGATGTGAAACCTAAACCAACAGAAAACAAAACTGATCTGGCAGAAATTTCACCACAGATACACATGTCATCTCCAATAAAGTGCAGCTCACTGTCCCAAACAGAGGCTGTGCTTCAGTTTATAGATGTTTATATTGCAAAGCTATGAGTTACGTTTCTCACAACTGATTACTATCACGGTGTGTGCTGGTGTCGCATCTGCTGGGCTGAGCTGATTGCCAAGAATACCTAGATGCCTATGCCATGGGCTGGCCCTGACTTACAAACCTTTTGACTATTAACAGTGTCTTTCCTGCTCAGCTCTGCTCTTTACACTCTTCAAGTTTTCTCGAGTGTTACAGAGGCACAATATCAGTCAGCTAATAAAGCACACAGAGCAGGAAATGTAAGTATTGGAAAATGACTGAAATTGAATGAGAGAGGTTGTTATTGTGGGCTCATGTGGAACACACAAGTCAATTTATTGAGCAGAGAATAGATTTTTGTTAGCTCAAATGAAATGATTTTTTCTACAAAATATAATTTTATAAAGCCACTGCAAACATGCAATAAAAAATCAATGGGGTCTGTGTCAGACCAATCATTGAGCTATGTTGAGTGGCAGAGATGAGGATGAGATTCGTCAGCTTTCCAAACTCTGTGAACAAAAGAAAGAGGTGTTAAGGTGTATGCAGACTGAATGTGAAGAGAATTTCAGAGGTGGTGGCATTGCCTGTAAAGTCATGCAAAGATGTGAATGGACACAAATTTCCCAGGGGCAAAGATGCATCTCCAAGATCTGAAATAGTTTCAACTGAAAATGTAGGTTTTATGACACCACCACTTCATGAAGGTACAGAGTCAAGTGAAAAAAGGGGAGTGATACTAGAGAGATAGGAGGGAAAAATCAGGAAGCAGAGGAGTTCATAAAAGGTTTTATAATCAGTTACTGTTGAGGCTGAGCAGTCACATGAACACACACACGGATGCCCTCTTTGTATGTTGCTACCTAGCTGTAGCTAATGTCTATACAGTCAGTTGTTAACTGTTTAGGGCAAATAAACACAGACTGCAAAAACACTCCTTAAAGGGGACATATTATGCTTTCCCTCATATATAAAATGTAACAATGTCAGATGTTCATTCTAAACTTGGCCAACGTTTCAAATAATGGGGTAAACAAATGTAAAAGTAATCCCTGTGAGCAGAAAGCTCAGGCTTCAGACTGCTGTGAATACTAGCTTTTAGAGCCTGGCCGATTTATCGGCATGCCAATATAATATCTCGCCAGTATAAGATAAAAAACTTTATGTTTGATCTGTGAATCATGCAAAGCTGCTCTAATGAAATTCCAGAATAAAAATATAAAACTGGAAATGACCATAATAGTCCCCATTAAACTTATTTTGAAAAAGAGTTTATACTTTTGAGATATTTGATGATTCCAGTAGAGTGTGTTTTAATAGTTTGAAAAATTGAAAGCAAAGACCACTTACAGTTGAGTGGGGTGTTACTTTGCATGTATGCATCGGTATGCATAGCCACATGGGTCCACGTGATGTCAATTTTTCCTGTGAGGACTGTAACAAAACAACAAAAACAGCAAACAGAGCCACGTGCATGTCCTCTGTCCATGCCATTTATCATGTAAAGCGTATGAAGGCTTTTTGTTTAGAGAAATGCTGTCAATGTCAGTCACTGTAAATGCTCCGTATTTGTCTAGCGCCTTTCTAGTCTTTTTGACCACTCAAAGCACTTTTACACTACATCTGCATTCACCATTCAAACACGTTCATTCACTGGTGGAACAGCCCAAGGATACTTCGACATGCAGCCTGGAGGAGCCGGGGATTGAACCGCCGACCTTCCGATTAACAGGCAACAGCTTAATTTCTGAAACATGACAGTGTCTTTTTCAAAATGAAGTGAAACTGCATTGAAAGCCAGACTCCACTCCCATGTCCACCGTGTCCACACAGAGCTGAGTGGGAGCAGCACACAGAGCAGAGTGTAGCTTGCCCGGTTTTTGGCAGCTCTCAGAACAAAATCAATGTACATGTGTAAAACAGTAGAATATAGACTTCAAGCGTAACATTACTTGTACCATAATGGTGCTTTGTCGTAGCCTGTGCAGACAGCTGGATTGATTAAAAGCAAAGAATATCTGTTCCGTTAAACATGTGTGGGACTAACTTAACATGACACTTTTCTTCAGTGTAGTTGTGCCTCTCTCTTGACCTCCCGTCATTTGTCTCCTAGTCCGCCCCCCAGTGCACCTCCAGGCATCCTGCCTCAGTGGGGAGACCGGGAACAGGAAGCCCGCTGGGCAGCATAGAGAGGAGGCTGCGTGGGGTGGTGCAGCGCTGCTGGAAGGAGATCCAGAGGAGCTGTACCAAGGAAGATCCACAACAACAGGGACACATCAGCACTACCTCCTTCCTGGGTGAGCAGCAAACCCCACACAATCAAAAATGAGCTGCCAACGTTTCAGTTAAGATTGGAGTGAGATTCGGCATTGCTGGGGTTGGGATCATCTCATTTTGTTTAAAAAGTTTAGCATCCAAAGTCAACCATTCTTAGATGAATAAGTATAGTTGATCAACATACTTGCCAACCCTACAGACATCACAGCCTAAATCAAAAAACCAAACCTAACCAGGTATCTGGGAATGTTCCCCCCAGAAGATGTGTGTCATCACACAGACTGTTTTCTTGCATTCTAGTGAATTTAGGGAGTCATGTTGTTAAAATGCAAGAGTGTAGGTTTTTGATACGATATTGGAGGGGGTCTCTGTGTCCTCCCTCTGAAAATATTGACCATTCAACACTTTCCTGCATTCCGGTGAAATTATTAGTCAAATGAAGTCAATTTTATTTATAATGCCAATTTAAATACAACCAACATTGACCAAAGTGCTGAACAAAGTTAAACAATAAAAAACAGATAAATAAAAACAGGGCAATCAATTTATGACATACAACAAAAGATAGAAAAACAAGACATTTAAAAACAAGACTGTTAAACGCAAGTGTCCCTAAACAGACTGAAACGCCAAAGAAAAAAAAAGCTTTAGATTTAAAGATTTAAACACGATATGATAACCAAGCTAAGTTTATTCCACAGTCTCGGGGCCACCGCTGAAAAGGGGCCTGGAAGAGTGATAAAATGTTAGGGGATCAGAGATATAAGATGGAGCCAGTCCATGAACAATTAATAGCACCTTAAAATCAACTCTGTATTTGACGGGTAACCAGTGAAAAGCAGCCAATATTGTGGAGATGTGGTCACGCTTCCTTGTACTAGTCAACAATCTAGCAGCTGCATTCTGAACAAGTTGCAATTGTTGACAGATGCCAGAATACAAGGAATTGTAGAAATCAGTGATTTTTCAATTATACCTCAATTGAGTTGGAGGTGCCAAATAATATTACTTCTGTCTTATTCTCATTAAGTTGGAAAACTTTTTTAGCCATCCAATGCTTAATATCATTAAGATATTAAAAATGGACTACAAGGAATTTGAATCACCTAATTTTAGTGGAACGTACAGCTGTGCATCATCAGCAAACGGTGGTATAATATATTATGTTTACAGAGAATGGAGCCCAAGGGAAGCGTATATAAAGAAAAGAAAATTGGCCCCAGGATAGAACCTCGTTAACAGAAAAGATTATTTTTTTCAAGTAGGAGGGAAACCACTATAGAGCAACACCCTGGATACTAACCCTTGCTGGAGGCGATCCAGGAGGATGTCTTGATCAGAGTCAAAAGCAGCGCTAAGATCAAGCAAGAGTAAAATAGCACCATTTCCAGTATCACTAAACAACAACAAATATTAAAAATAATAAAAATAATATCTAATACATTTTCTGGTGTTGCATCAGCTGGGCAGAGTTGATTCGCTCCACGAGTTGAGGTTATCATGAGAAAATGTATGTGTGGTGTGAGAGCTTGTGAAAAATGTCAATTGCGTGAGAGTTGGCAGCTCTGTATGTGACACTGAGACATCCTTCTGCTATATGCTAACGCTAACGACTGACGTGTGTTAACAGAGATCCTCCAGTCTCTCAGCATCAATATAACTCGGGAGCAGTTTGAACATCTGGCTGCGAACTTTGACATCACGAATAATGACTGTGTTATATATCACAACTTCCTTCATCACTTCGTCCTGAACCTAAAACCAGCAGAGGCTTGGAGGCCATTTGGTCGACATAAACTCCCTCTTCCTACAACAACGGTAACATTTTATTTGTTATTCTTCATGCAATAAGCTCCCATGAGACAATATGTGTATCCCAGCTCTGCTAACAGCAAGCTAGCAGTCAGCTGTAGCACATTAAACAGCTTAAAAACTGCAAAAGTCCCCATGTTTTTTTTTAGGAGCTAAATGCTGTGGTCCTTATTCTTCTGCCTTATTCATCAAAACACCAATGCATTTCTTTTTTTTTCTTTGTTACTTCTAATTTGGGCTAATTCATTATTTCAAGAAAAAATAAGGTTGTTAGGTAACTTTTTAACTAATGGCTTTATTAATAGTCAAAAATCATTTACTAATGCTGTATAGACAAAGCCAAAAATCAAACCCACATATTTGGTGCAATGTCCGTATAGGAGCTGGTTTTGTAAAACACAATCAGACATTCCTGCTTGTATTTTCAGTAACCTAAGACTGTACATGTTTATCTGGCCTAGGGTAAAACACAGAGCATGCACAATAAAAAGCAGCATGTGCCAAAGACAGTGGTGCACAAGCAAGTTTCAGAAATGCCACCAGCAAACCTCTGTGCATGTTGACCAGCACGCTGATAACCCAGTCAGTAAATGACGACACAGGCACACACCTGTTTATAAGCCTTTAAAAACAGCTATTTTTGCATTGGCATGTCGGAAACTATCCCCCCATAAAACACTTGCTTTGCATGGCTTTGACGTAAACAATTAACTAACCATTAATGAGCCATTAGTTGCAACTTTTATATAGACACTAAAACTCAACACTAAATTTGACACTAAACCATTTTGACACAAACAAACTAATTGTGATTTCATCTGGATTTAAAAAAGAAAAGACAAACATTTATAAGTTTTGATTTTTTCCCTCCTTCACTTTGTTTACATGGTGTAATACTGTCCATGACTGAGTAATCAAATGACTTAGTGTGCATGTTAGCATTTGAAAATATACTTGTCCCTCATGCATCCATGCGTACACAGTCATTACAGTTGGAGTTAAGCGTGAAATTGGGACACAGGGTATGTGCTTTCAGCTAAACATCCCCATGCTGAGCAGCACATTAACACATTTCAGATTAGCTCTGCTGTCCCAGTCCTTTCCTCTGTTTAAGGTCTGAACTATTGTAGTTTTATTGGCTGCAAGTTTAAATTGGGTTAGAGTAAAGTAGGGGTGGGGGAGGGGGTGGCACTGGAATTTGAGGGGGCGGTGATAGCGACGGGTTGCCAGATTGTGTAAACTCAGCAGGGACCTCCCACCCTCAGGCTCTTAACTATCGCCTCCCATGACAAGCAAATTGGGCACGTTTGGTGATTTGCGGTGCTTTTTGGCATGGGGAGGTGTATATGAAGCTTTGAACAATGACACACGGGTGGGCATGTTCTAAAAAGGACCCCCACTGAGCGATTGAGACAAGCCCCAAGCTTCAACGGAGCGTGTGGGTGAGGACCTAATCTGGCAACCCACGAGCTGCAACCTTCCAAAGCAACTTTGGAATCACAAAAAACAGCATTGTCTCAACCAAACCCACCATCTGTGTAAAATTGCAGAGACCCCCTGCATCTTATCTGATGCGATGGTGCGTCTGTACATGAGTTTACAGACAAAACCTCTTTATCTGATCACAGGAACACAAAAATCCGCCACTTTGTTCTCAGTCCCAGCTTGTCAAGAAGCGAAATATTAACAATAATGCGGGGGTTCTTACCTCTTTGTTGTTGTCCACTTTTTCCTGTTCGTGTCTGGTTGGTTTAGACGAGCCAGGGTGTTCTGAGCAAAGACTGTGTGGAGGTCATGCTAAGGATCTATGATGTGGTTCGCTCCACCTGGACCTCCGTCAGACGCTGCTTCCTGATGTTTGACCGCACACGCACAGGAATCGTCTCCGTGCAGGACTTCAGGAAGGTGAGGTCAGCTATAGCAGGCCACCCTGCAGACTGCCACCTGCTCTACTGCATCAGAGTGCTCTCATACACTCCAAGTGAACTGGTTCATTATGAATTATTGATGAGACAGTTTGAGTTCCACTTGTGTCTCTTCTATCTATCAGAATGTCTGACGGAGAATGATGGATAGTGACTGGAAATCCTTGAAGCTCTCACACACACACACACACACACACACACACACACACACACACACACACACACACACACCTGTTCACTTGACAGCCAATCAGTAATTTTAATTGTTTAATTAAGCTGAAGGTTGAAACAAGACCATACTGACATTTTGGCCCAGGAGAACAGCAGCTGACACTTCTGTTTTATTGTACTGGCCAAATACCTGCTGTACAATTTACTGAAGACAGAGCTAATCAATAGAAACAATTAGCAACCTGGTTAGAGATGACATTTCTTAACCTCCACCTAATACACTAGGACACACACAAATGAGCATGCATACGCGCTCCAACCTTTGCTATTGTTGCCCTGCAGGTGCTGCGCCATTTCAGCTTGAATCTGTCGGAGGAGGAGTTCTTCCACCTCTGCTCTTATTTTGATGCCAACTCCACAGGGAAGATCTACTACAACAACTTCCTTCGGCCATTTCTTCACTGACCTTCATTAACGTGGCTATAGCTGCTTCAGCAAAAATGGACAACTGGGCAAAATGTTCTAGCTTCAGCTTTCGGCTTTAGTGTTAAGCTTTTTTGTAATTTAATTCATTGTTTAATTCAAAACGCTATAAAAAGCAAAATGGTGGCCTTTGCTTTTTTACCTAGTCTGAAATCCCCTGCAAACTGAGCGTAACATTAAATACTCATTACTAACTAACAGCCCGGCATCCTTCTAAATTATGTTCCATGTTGGGAATTCAGCACCTCAGCGTTCCGTTTTTTTGCAATTAACCAAATTCCGATAAAGGTTCAGTGGTGTATAAAGACCTTACATAACAAAATGTCTTTATTACCTTAGAATGAGCTATTTCTATCTACATACCCATGTCGCGCCACCATGTTTCTGAACTTTCCTGAAGTCCTGCGTGGAGACGTCACTATGTTACTAGTATTAACTAGTGTTAATATGTACAAAGAAGAAGAACAAGTAACATTATTATTATTATTAGTAGTAGTATTAAGTAACAAGAGAAGAGAAATTTGGACAAATGGAGGAACACACTGTGGTGTCCGAACAATAATGCTGCGATGATGAGGTCACTAATCCTCTATCCAGCTGCTACAGTGTTATTTTAAACTGTTATGGTCAAATGCACATATGTTATACACCACAACACATATTATTTAGCACAAGCCGACAAAGCGTGTTGGCCACCATAGCTTCTCTTGGGCGCTTGGAAAGGGAGGGGTGAGCAGTGACTAGTGTTGCTGTCAAGACCGCCCAAACCGAGACCAAGTCAAGACCAAGACCAAGGGAGGGCGAGACCGAGTCAAGACCAGTTCATTACATTACATGAAACACAATAAAATGTGGAACGAAGATACACATTCCCATTAAAACACCCACATACAAAGACTAAGAGCTGAAATCAACGTAAGCATCTTTACACTCCTTTTCCACGCTGACCATCATGGGGAGGGGGGACAGTCGTTAACGGGAACAACACATGTTTAATTGAGGTTATTGGTTGCTTTCAAAGCAATACGTTTTCCATCAAAGTTAGGATGTTAATAAATAAATAAATAAATCAGACAATGCAAAAGCAATTTATTCCCAAAGTTATGGTCTTGACTGGTCTTGAAATAAAATCCTGAGTCCTCAATGTCCGAGACCGAGTACAAATGTGGTCGAGTCCGAGACACATTGTGTTGTTGGAAAAATCAGGATCTTTTGTTCCTCCTTAAATCTTTATTGCAAAAAGAGAAATTAAGTGTACATGGGACATAATGAAGGATACAGAACTTTGATTTGTGTAAAATCACGTATTGCATATACATATTTTGCAAACATGTCATTTGTAATATGGTTACAACGGTTAGTTTGCTGTCCATGTAGAGTGAACTAGATGTCTGTGTGTTGTTTGTGTTGTTTGATTATGCTAATGCTAATGCTAATCCTACACATCTTTGTAATAGCGTCCATTTTGGTGGCTGTGGCTCAGGAGGTAGTTGCCGTTAATTAGAAGGTTGGCGGTTCAATCCCTGGCTCCTCCAGGCTGCGTGTTGAAGTGTCCTTGGGCAAGATACTGAACCCCGAATTGCCCCTGGTGGCTGTTCCAGCAGTATATGAATGTGTGTGAATGTTAGTTTCTGTTTGAGCACTTAGGCTCAGTGAATGAATGTATGTGAATGCAGATGTAAAAGTGCTTTGAGTGGTCGAAAAGACTAGAAAAGCTCTATACAAATACGGAGCATTTTGATTCCACATTCCGACTTCAGAGCACATGAACACATACTGTAGTTGGAAGAACGACTTCACAACTCGGGAAATGGGACCAACTGAAGAGCATGTGACTGCACCGTGAGCCTCTGACTGCAATTCATAACCCTCACCACTAAAAAGGGTTAGGGTTACTGCCACTAAAACTTACACGCTGAACCTTTAACCACTATTTATTTTGAAAGTATAATTGGATTTTGCATATACATTGTTGCTAACTTGCCCCCCCCAAAAAGACACCAAAGTTGTACCCAGAGTATTAAGGGGGACCTATTATGCTTTTCATATTTTCTGGCATATAAAATAATGACGTAAAAGTATTTCAATGAAATCCCTATGAGCCAAAACCTCAGATATCCCTTTGTTCTGAATGCTCTGTTTTAAACTGTTATGAAGTTAATTAGTTAACTTAGGTTCAGGAGCAGGGCCACGCCTAAAACCACACCTCTAATCAGCTGACAAGTATATCTACACCCGGGCTATTCAACCGGCCTCCTCTGTCTCTGTTTGCTCGACCCACCCTCCCTTTCCCTTCCCTTCATCCACTCACCCCTTACTCTCTCATCCCTTCATCCCTCATCCCTTCACACCTTCATCCCATCATCCCTTCCTATTCAACCCGGTGCACCACTCTCATGTCTCATCTAGGTACCATCTGGGAGGTCAATATATCACTCAGGCGAAACCTCTATCGAGACGGAACCCCCACTCTGAGTCTCAGCTGCCTGCTCATCACGCAGACTCCCAGACCAGCATCCAGATGGCATCCTTTCTCCACCACCATTCCCCTCTACATCCATTTATCTATCTGTACATTCAGAACATTCATTAAACCTTTAAACAACATATTGTTGTGGCGTGGTCCTTGCTAGTGAATTTTCAACTAATGGCTTGGTATGATGTCATTCTGAGCCGGATTTCCATATATGGTCATTTGCTCCAGGCAGAGAATGCTGGCCATGCCCACAAAGGAACATGCAGTCCCATCCCTGCAGCAACCTGGTAAACATGTAAGACAATGGCCAATCAGAAGACAGTGGGCTTTGAGAGGGGGCCTTAAAGAGACTGGAGGATCTACAGCTTGTTTCAGACAGAGGCTGAAATAAGGGCCTTCATGAATGGCCAGTGTAAGAAAGAAATTTTTTTTTTTACTTTGAATCATGCAAAACTGCCATAGAGGAGCGCCAAGGGGTCTTGACCAAGCATCCAAATGTGAGTTGGGAGGGAGAATGTGTTGCTGAAAAAGATATTAATTATGAAGATTTTTGATTCAAATGTTGCCAAACTCTGACTGGCTCATGGAAATAGGTGACATCATCTTATTCCAACTAAATCCCACCCATTTTGAACTAGAAACAGAAAATAGTGTGTTCATGTCACTCATAGTAAGTAAGTTTGGCTTGTGCGCCATTAAAGAGTGACGATCTTGTTCTTGTTGAGCTCCAGGTTAACCTCTTAAATCATATTCATGAATGTAGCTATGTAGCTGGCTAGCCCTTTAGGAAGATAGTGTCCCCACTCTTCTTCCTGCCGGTTTAGCTCTGAGTGATCAACTCTTTCCTTAAATGGAGGAAACAGTTTTTAATAGTGTAATGCCAGATCTTCAAAATGACCAAACAAATCTGAGAAGTGGGCAATGGTCCCTCGGTCTGGAAGCAGGATAACACCTGCACACCCAGCAGTGATTCTGGGTGGAAAGTTTACTAGAGAGGACACCAGCTTGTGTTACATTCCTCTTTAAGGCCCTCTGTCGAAGACCACTTTCAGTACCTTTAATACAGAAGTTATTTTTAACTTACATGGTGCATATTTTTAATATTACATTTGTGGGCAAATGATCACAAAATAATATGGGGGCAGGGAATAGGAGCCCACAGCTTATTTTAGTCCCTGGGCCTCTTGGTGTGTTTATCTTGCCCTAGCAGTAAGACTATAGAATTTCAAACTAATTAGATTCATCAAGGGAACTGATGACTGAACAACATGAACAAATAAAGACTAACAATCACTGTCTTCTCTACTTACTGTTGACTGACTATTTGACAGTTTTTGATTTGTGTTCCAAAGCCAATCAAAAAAGGGCCTACTAGTGATGCAGACGAACAGGGTGCATCTTTTGTTTAGATGGGAGGTGTGAAGGGAGATGGATGGCGAGTAAATGGAGCGGACGTCTGTCATTCATTCAGAGAAAACACTACGACAGCAAGATATATAGTAGCACTCAGAGAGGAGAGAACATTTGCGGGGAGCTGGGAATCATTATCTGAGGAAGCTAAGAGAAGGACGAGCGGAAGTAAATGGAAAAGGGATGATCAAAACTGAAAAAAAGAGCTCACGACTGAGGTTGGAGAGGCAGAGTGAGAAAAAAGAGGGAGGGAGGGAACTGGAGGAAGACAACAGTATATGAAAGCTAGGTGCATTAATGGCAAAGTAAAAAGCCGTCTACGAATAAATTACCCGGTCTCCCCTGGGATTACTAATGTAATTATTTGAACGAGGTTCATTAGAATGTGCAGAGGTGTGGAAGACCTGCGGAACAAAACGGGAGACAGAGAAGGAGCGACGAGGGTTTAGCTACTGGAAATTAACTTGCTGCTCTGGGCTCGATAATTGATACAAGACACAGATACCTTTGATTGGAACAAAGGGAAGAACCAGGACGAAAAAAGTTTCCTCACCACCTCTAATTTTCTTTCTCTGGAACAAGAAATAAAGGAGAGGAGAGACAAAAGGAAAGAGCGAGGATGGAAATAAGGACGCATGATCCACCTTTCACAGATGAGCTTTTATTCAATCTGTGAATAATCTCTCAGAACCAGCAGAATCCTCATGGTTTTAAGAAAGGTACTTCACATTTTTAGAATTGTCTCCAGGAGCAACACAGTAACATTTTGCAGCTGTTGAGTCTTCATTTTCTTGTTTTACAGTTTAAAAAAATGTAAAAGTCCTCAACAACAATAACAAAATACAATACCATATGAACACTTTAATTCCAAAATGCTATAATTCCATTTAAAAAAAGACCTGAAGTTAATGACCATCCAGTATTGTTGAAATATAGAGGACCCAGCCAAGAAAAAGTGTTACCAAGGACACACGTTACTGACAGTCCTTTAGAAAGTACTACCACAGTCTGCTTTCAAGTTGGAACTGTCAATCATTCGGCCTGTGTAGGCATGCCATTTTTCAAACAGTGGATATCTCATTTTGGAAAAAAACTTTTCATATGCAGATTGTCTGAGTAGCAGAAATCATTAACTTCTTTAAGCATGCCTCAAGAAATAAATCAAGAACTAGTACAGCACTTTTTTTCCTTGGAGAAAACAGAAACACATAACACATCTACTGAAGAGCATCAAAGTGAGACATCTAAATGAGGATTGGAACTGGACGGTCAGGCCAGACAGCTTTTTATGAAACTTTTTAACAGTTGCCTTAATTTTCTTGAAACATTTTTACTTCATAGACTTTTATTAAGTTTGTGTATTAATTCAAACTAAAACACAACCATTTAAACTATTACTGCCAACCCTGATCTAAAGTCTCCCCACTTCGTGCCTAAAGTCCTGGTTCTCTGAAGAGGATCATGATGATGTTTATGATTATGTCAGCATTCAACAAAGAGCCAGTACTTGTTGTTCTGATCCAACAAAACCAGTTAGTGAATTGGGACACTTGCTACTGAGAAAATAGTGCCATTGTTTGTTTGTTATAAACAGTCAAGGTGTTGAGCAGAGATCAGTTTTATCAGCAATATAACATACATTCTCAAACACCTTATAGCAGCTGCAAGGGCATAAACTCTACCTTACAATATCTTGAGAAAGTTGAATTTAAATCATTTATCCAAATGGTTTTATCCTGAGGTGTTATCAGACCCTCAAATGACAGACCAACATCTTCTATATATTAAAGGACTTTCAAGTGTATTCTGTTACATTGTCAAATATGATTTCTCTATTTGCTTGTGTTTTGGTAATTTACCTGTGTTTTATTAAGCTGCATACTTTCAACACTCTGTGCTTTAAACATAATCTAAATTCTAAACCTAGTCCTAACCCTAAACATGTCCCTTGAAGATATGAGGATAGGCAAAATGACAGACTTTGAAATTGCTCCACATAACATTAGCATAACACATACAGACACTCAGGCTTCAATGTGCACGCACCTCCCATCATTATCCACAGACATGTGATTCCGCCGCTCTTTTCCCTTTTGCCCATTTGGAAACATTAAGACATCAGCCGGCACAATGAACACTGATGTGCTAAAGAAGCAAGAGTGAAGCTGGAGTAAACTGCAGCCCCAGGGAACGTTCCAACATAATGTCGGAGAGCAGGGAGATCAAAGCGTGACGTGGTCTTGTTATGCTACGCACATTCAGACTTGCTTAGACCACCGTATCCAGAAAATAGAGCAAAGGGGGAAAAAGGAAGAGCTCTTTTTTTTCAAAACACAGACAAACTGCTAAGGGACGTGAAAGAGTTGATAATCACCAAATGGAGAGAAGAAAACACCATAATAAGCATTTACATTTCTAAGAAATAAACCAAATGAAATGCACACATTTCTGGACACAAATATTAACACATTTTTTCTGAAAAGCATAGCAACAACTCGGAAAGTTTTTTTTCTTTACATTGGCAGAGAACATTTACAAAGACCAGTTACAGTACATGTAGTTACAGTTTTACTCCTCTTGAAAAAGGATAAAATAATGTTCTCTCTCTCCCACGAATAACACGAGGGAGTATCCGTGAAACAACCACCCCTGCTGAGTTAGCATGACTGTCTAGTGTTAGCATGTAGCACCTGATACCTGTCTGTTAAAATCCATCGGGCAAATGTGGCTTAGCCAAAACTCTCCTTTAGACTTGGCGTTGTTTCACTTAAGTTCAAATGTTTACAGTACATTTAAATGGCATTGGGGTGTCTCCTTTGTCTCTCTGAGAGCCACATCAGATTGTCAGTGCAGTAAAAGAGGAAACAGAGAAATGTCCATTTGTCCATTTGTAAAAGCGTCTCTCCGCTCGTCCATTGCTTTTAGACTCAGTATTGAGATGAAGAAATAATGGCACATAAAATAACAAGCGCGAGGGAGCGTCCATCCCTCACTTAGGCGTGTACTACATGTGTCACGTTAACGCCTGTGTTGTATTTACAGAATTCAGTTCGTTCTGGCCCCAGACCTCACCTACCTTTCCTGGCCCCTTTCTCCTGATTGGCTGTATATGTTTGGGGCTGAGCTTTCTCTAGTCATGTGGTCCTGGGGTTTGGAAGGTCAAAGACGATGGGCGGGTTCATGGGCAAGAAGTTGACAGTGCAGGCTGAGGCGTTGATGAAATTCGTGGTGCCATCAGTCATCATGCCGTAACCTGGGGAGCAGTGAAAAAGGTGAACTCACAGCGTTTCCAAAACACACAATAGGGAGCGTCTCTGGATGTCACTCAGTCACAGGGGTGCATTAGTTTAAATACATTTTGCATTCTGAAAAAGGAGAAGGCATTTCTGGTGGTGTAGAGCTGACTTTTGTTGGAGTGTTGGAGTGATCAGCTTACTTTGTATATTTACCATGACTTATTAGTGTTTGGAAAAATTATTTTAGGGTATTGATTAGGGTAATACATTAGGGCTGAAACGATTTATTGATAAATTAGATTAATTTGATTACTAGAAAGCATTGACACAGCGAGCATCGCGCTTACGCTGTGATCAAGTGAACACGACGTGATTATGATGGCGCTGTTTGCAAAGTGGAGGAAGAGAATGAAAATAGCGAGGGACAAAGAAGAAAGTGTCCAAAGTATGGGATTATTTCAAGCTAAAAGAAAACAACAACTCTGTAATTTTACAGTGGATATCACCATGAAACTTTCCTATGCTGTAATTTGCATGTATTTTAAGAACCCAAATCTGAACACTGGGTTAAGTCAGGTTCAAAATAATTGTTTATTTTGTTGACATAGTAAACTCAAAGGAGGGAATTTTGGATATCTCTTTGTATCATACTTTGTATCACTCCATAAGTTAGAAAATACTGTCAACAGGCACAAAAAAATAAAACTAGAAAGTTTGGTGTATGTAAATGCTACTAAAATTGAGATTTCAGGCTCAAAGTATGAGAAAAAAACTAATTTTGAAAAAACAGCCTTGAAAGATAAGTATTGTAAATTTCCATACGTTTTTATTGAAAATCAATATTTACAGACCTAATACCTAAAACAACAACAATATAGAACATCTAAATCAAGCATACAGACAAACTGTGGTGAAATAAACAACTAAATGTATATTTTGAATGTTATCTCTCCTGTGGTCTGGAAGAAGACGATGTTATGGAAGCAAAATCTCAAAATAGACCAGTGCATTAAAAAAACAATGCCTTTGCCTGCCATGTCTCACCTTAATTGATTTCTTTGGCCACTTGAGGGCAACAGAAAAAGCTATAAACATGACTGTCATATAATCACCATATAAAAGTTAGTGTGGCGACTATGTTAGCAAACAGTTTATTTCTACCTCCAGCGGTAACAGAGCAGCATGATCGTTTATTTGAAGTGCTGTTGGTGTCAACTGATCAGTGTGAGTCAACACTGTTTTAGAGCTCTGTTTCTCTACCAGGTTCTGGGGTAAATATCTGGCTCTTTAGCTGCTAAATGCTCCACTATGTTCTCCAGCTAGTCTCTAACTGTGTCTGTCTGCTGCTGAGCTTTTTCACTGAAAACACTACTGCCAGAAACCAGTTGGATGAGAGCAATCAGACTGAAGCAGAAATTAAAACAAAAAGAGCTGACGGGAACTGCAGAGTTCAGTGATAATTCTTCTTCATCTAAAAATATTGATTAGTGCAGCTTTACAAATATATGACACTGTCAAACCCTGTGCAGTTCGGTTGAGCTGCTCCCTGGGAGCAATTGAGCAACAAACACAGTAGGGGATTTAAGTACTAACGCTACATTCACAATTAAAGATTTCTTTATTTATTTAGTGAATTAAATTTTTTAATGTTTAATTTTTAATTTGAGTTTTCAGCCACATCTCCATTACAGTGAGAATCTTTTTTTTTTAATTGATTTTCACCAAGCCTACATTAAATTCTCACCAGGGGCACAACATTTGCATCACCACCATTTTTCAAATATTATATGCATGTGTATCTTTTTGCTGCACCATGTTTTACTGCTGTCAGTACTGTGTTGTCATCACGCAACTATTCGCGACTATATCGCAACTATTGAAGATAGAACAAAGTTGTCTTGTAACTCTCTCTCTCTCTCTCTCTCTCTCTCTCGGCAGATTTGACACCTGCTTTTCTCAGATGTTAGCTTTCAGCCAGGCATTCCTGTGCTGCAGTAGTCGTAAATCAGGTTCAGCAGCTATTTGTATACATTTCCATTCTCTCCTCCCATATTTTCTGCCTCTAAAAGGAACACCTTAATTTAAGGTGCATGGACCCGAATTCAGTTTTCTTTTATTATACCGATGCAGTACTTAATTTTGCATTTTTTATTGCTTACTCCTTACTTTAGTCTCCCCAAAAGGGATGCAAATCCTTAGTAAATATCCACTAATATATGATTAAATGAAATCAGAGGAAGTACCGGGGTCTCTCATAACACAGAGATAATTTATTGGATGGGCGAACGAGAACCACCATAGTGTATATAAGCGCTTTGTATCACAGTGCATCTTCATCATTTCCCAATTGCGAGAATCCAGTTTGAGCAAATGTATGCATGAGTGTGTGACACTAACACCACTACAGCTAAAAAGTCTGTGCTCAAACAGCACTTTGGATCAACGTTTCTTCCAAATGGCAGATGTAAAAGTGTTCCCATTTTGTCACGGCTAAGTTAACTACCGTCTCTTCAAAAGTACTACAATTTAACTTTGCGCTATCCGTGATTTTTCACTTTCACAATCTCTTGGAACAGAACTCTGCATGTCTGTGTCGGTCCTGTGTTTCAGATTTGCAATAAATGGACACAGAACACAGTGATGATTCATTTCTGTCTCTCTGAGTCCTCACATTAATGAAGAGAGCTGCTTTCAGCCTGTTCCTCTCGTTATTAAATCTGATCTAGTTTCTAATCTGGCTCTCTCGGATGGGGGACCGCTGCTCCAGGGGCTCAGCCCTGACCTGATAACCCTGAAAAAAGCAATCCTCAGTCCAGGGAGACGGCCTCTCTGCCCTTGCTGGCCTGGATGAAATGCTGATAGGGATGTGGCGGCTCAACTACTCTCTAATATACACTTAATTATTTTGTTCAAGAAAACTATTGTAAAGTATCTCTATATTCTCTATTGTTACATGGTTGATTTATATAATAAGGTAAATGTTTAGGTTTTAAAATATGAAAATGAAATGAAAAAAAAAACGCCTTCAGAATGTGATACAAGGTAAACAACCACATATACTGTAATTTAGCTTCTTCTCCTGATGACCTAAAAAAATCATCAGGATTTATGTGAGCTCAAACATGAGTAAACTGTGTTCTGTAAATAAAAACGGGGGAAATTAGTTTATTCATAGAGCACATCCCTGATTAAATCATATTACAAATGTGTGTGTACATATGTGGGCATGTAACTGAATGCACATACATTATTCTGATCTGAACGTGTAATGTGTTCTGAACAGACACAAACCGCATTGAATTTGTGCAGTCAAGGGAGTCATTACAACTGGGTGTGGAGGAGACATTTTCAAAATCTTATTTTAGTCCCCGTCATGTTTTTAATTTTTTTTATTTGTTTATTAAAAGACCACTAAACAGCGTCCTCTCACTGTCCAACCAACAGCTGATCAAAATACTCCTCTGAGATGCCATTAGACCGTGCGCTTACAGCAGAGATTGCCTCTCAGGTAACATGCTACATGCTACCCTGCATTCTTGTTGGAGGTGTTTGGGCTGTATGCAGCTTGTGAGGGAGATTGCAGACGCTACTCAGGGCTGAAAAAAATCTTCTGGATTTTCAAAAGAAAAAAATCATTTAGCTGTTCTTGTGTACAGAAAATGTTGATTGTTGTTATCATAAAGTACCAGGTCTATTTCAAAAAGAGAAACAGGTTTTTATTGAGTTAGTGCATTATAATGCAGTAGGGTATGTGCACGTTTTTGGATTATTATTATAGTGTGCACAAAAATCAATCATAATTAATCATAATTTATTATATGCTAAATTATATCAACAAATATATATATAGCTTTTCATATTTTGCAAACCATCTTTATGTCATCTGGGTTGCTCATTACAACCTCTAGTTCTTAAAGGAAATCATTGAATCTGGCTCCCATTCTGTTTTTATTCCACCTGGACCTTACTTTTTTCATGTCTCTTTACTTTATGAATAGTAACACATGGAAAACCACATGTGCCTCTGTACTGTGTAACCACAGTACAGTGAGTGTGTGTGTGTGTGTGTGTGTGTGTGTCTAAGTTTTTCACAAGCACATGGACGTACCTTCATGAATGTGACCGAACACATGTAATTTGGGCTGGACTCTTCTCTGGACTGTGTTGAGCAGCTCCATGCACCCGACACGCTGCATCTTTTTCGGGACCCAGTCCAGGAAACCTGCACATAGAACATGGCTGTTTTAAAGGTGACTATGGGTTCCATTTTTATGATCAAAGGCGTGCAGTGTGCCCAGTACAGGACACGTATTGTGCACAGTGGGAAGCAAAGTGGCATAAAACAGAAGTTCAAATTAAACTGTGGTCCAGTGTTCTTATTTCATATTTGTTAAATCTAGTCTTTAAGTATCCGTCAGTCCAACTGAATTGTTTTCCAAGGAATATGAAGTGGGAACAAAACAATTACCCATTTAATGCTTAATTTGATTAACTGGCAGTTAGACAGTAATGATCCTGTGGGATGATTTCAGTTATGTTGCACAGACAACAGTGAGATGTTGATATTTTTTTGTTTCCATGGCTCAATGTGTCTCACTGATGTTTTCATTTCCATTCAAAAAGCGATACATCACATTTTAGAACGAAGCTCTCCATTTCAGACTCTTCGTCTTATGGCAAACTGCACATCGCAGCACAAAAAACAGTCTAAGAAAGCAGCCATAGAAAATAAAGATCAATCACAGCCACACACAGATGCAGACTTCACAGTGTGTGTGACAAGGATGAAGCATGGAGTGTATATGATTTAGTGGCTGCTCCGCCAGGAAGGATGCTGCTGACGCTGAGTCAATAAAAGCATCAAGTAGAAGAAATAAAATGACTGAGGAGCTCATGCCTCCATCTTCCCTGCCTTCTGTCGCTCTGCCCAGACAGGAATAAGAAAGAAAATAAGGAAAAGAGAGAAAAGTGAACAAATGGTCAATTGAGGTAAGAAACTGAAACAAGACTTAAGGTCCTGTTAGCAATGTTCTGATCGATATTTACCAGTTGTTGGTCTAAAAATTGTAAGAACAAAAAAACATCCTTTCATCCTCTGGGGAACAGATGAGGGGTGAGTTCTACTGTGCACAGTTACAATTAAAGTCTTAAATACTGTGCAGCAACTAACACTTCACGAAACAGCATGTTTTCCTCAGATTTATCAGGTTAGTATAAGAACAGGTTTCACAGACATCTGACCAGCACTTATCTTCAGATATCTTCCGACCGAAATGATGGACAGACAGAGACACTGGCCCTCATGATGGTAAACCTACTGACTGTGGTGTGGGGATAAGAGAACCCATATTCAAAACTCAAGTCGTTAAGGGCAAGTCCAAGCCAAGTCTCAAGTCATTAAGGGCAAGTCCAATTCAAGTCTCTAGTCTTTAGGGGCAAGTCCAAGCCAAGTCTCAAGTCGTTAAGGGCAAGTCAAAGCCAAGTCTCAAGTCATTAAGGGCAAGTCCAATTCAAGTCTCTAGTCTTTAGGGGCATGTCCAAGCCAAGTCTCAAGTCGTTAAGGGCAAGTCAAAGCCAAGTCTCAAGTCGTTAAGGGCAAGTCCAAGCCAAGTCTCAAGTCGTTAAGGGCAAGTCCGAGTCAAGCTCAAGGCTTTAGAGGCAAGTCAAAGCCAAGTCTCAAGTCGTTAAGAGCAAGTCCAAGCCAAGTCTCAAGTCGTTAAGGGCAAGTCCGAGTCAAGCTCAAGGCTTTAGAGGCAAGTCAAAGCCAAGTCTCAAGTCGTTAAGAGCAAGTCCAAGTCAAGTCTCAAGTCGTTAAGGCAAGTCCAAGTCAAGTCTCAAGTCGTTAAGGCAAGTCCAAAGCTCAAGTTAAGGCAAGTCCAAGCCAAGTCTCAAGTCGTTAAGTGCAAGTCCAAGTCTCAAGTCGTTAAGAGCAAGTCCAAGTCAAGTCTCAAGTCGTTAAGGCAAGTCCAAGTCAAGTCTCAAATCGTTAAGGGCAAGTCAGAGTCAAGCTCAAGGCTTTAGAGGCAAGTCAAAGCCAAGTCTCAAGTCGTTAAGCGCAAGTCCAAGCCAAGTCTCAAGTCGTTAAGAGCAAGTCCAAGTCAAGTCTCAAGTCGTTAAGGCCAAGTCCAAGTCAAGTCTCAAGTTGTTAAGGCCAAGTCCAAGTCAAGTCTCAAGTCGTTAAGGCCAAGTCCAAGTCAAATCTCAAGTCGGTAAGTGCATGTCCAAGACAAGTCTCTAGTGTTTAGGGGCAAGTCCAAACCAAGTCTCAAGCTTTTAGCAGGTATTCACTGAGGCAAAAGAAAAGAAAGAGAAAGGGAAAAGACACTCTTTAAGATTCTTTATACATTTTTATTTTTCACTCCCAAACGGAGCGCTATAAATCTCAAGGAAGCGTTAATGGACTCTCTTATACTTAACACAGTTCTCAGTTATCATGTTCTCAGCTTGCAGTCAGACATGTTGGTAAAGTGATATAGTCTGACTACTTTGTTCTCTAAATGGCTCTACCTGTAAAACCCCCATACTTATAGAATCAGTTTAGATATAAAATGCCTTTAAACTGTAAGAGGATTCTTTACAAGCCTTGGGAGATGGTGGATGTGAAGTGAGAAGTTACGAGGGCTTTTTGTGTCTCGGGGTATTTTGCTCTAATGTGCCACTTGTTTCAAAGCAGCTGCTGCATTGGGCACTGAGCCTGTTTTCCTCTTTTTGTCTCACTTTCTCTCTTTCTCTCTGCTGTTAACTTCTTCCTCACAGCCAGATAAAGAAGCCATATTTTTCCTCTCTAGCTGCAGATCTGCCACTTTATCGCGCCTCATAAAAGACGGACGCTTTGTCGCAGTGCGAAACAACGTCTCGCTCACACTCCTTTTTCCATCGGTTATTTCTCCCTCTTTTAAAAAATATTTCAAAAGTGGAGGTCTTTTCTTGGCTCTAAAGAATCCAGTTTTTGTCCACACTTTTGTCCTCCATTCCCTTTTGCCTTTATTATCCTTGCTCTCTCATAACATTCCTTAAAGTCTGTGTGTGTGTGTGTGTGTGTGTGTGCGTGTGTCTCATGCATTAGTAGCCTGCTGTAGCTGCTCCATATGCCGGTGGCTTACAAGCAGATAGCTGGAGACACTTCGCTAAGCTGAATGGAAAATAAACGGCCGTGTTCGCAGCTGAGACGCAGACACAGAAATCAATCACACACACTCGTCTGAACACCACAGCTGCAGCGGGAGATGAGGTGTGAAAGTGTGTGTGCGAGAGCGAGAGTCAGAGAGAGAGAGAGGAGTGTGTGTGCGTCTGTGTGTGTGTGAGACAGAGACGTGTGTACAGGATGTCAGTTAGCTTGTGAGCCAGCATCTGTGTTTGTTCTCTCTCTTGCGTCATTTGTGTGTAATGAGGGTGTGTTTGAGGATGAAAACAAGTGTGTAGAAGCTGGAAGGTGAACAAGGGGGCTGATAATCTCCACTAAAGGTGTGTTTTCAGGGCGAGTGGGACGAGCTGACTGGACTTTTTGAGTCACTGCCTTGACTCCCTTTACCCTTCATTCATCCACTCAAGATGACAACGATGCATCAGCGCCACTTCCTGTCATTTCAGGAGAAAATACACCATTTACAGAGAGTATGCTTGTGATGACTGATGTAAAACTGTTGATTGATGTGCCTACCTGTATGTTGTTTATGTGGTTTGAATGAATATGTATGAGTCTGTTTATTCAGATGCAGTACTTGCACAACCAATGAGGTCAAGTCCTCTGGGCTTAAATTGCCATATCCAAGTCCACCTGGGGACCTTTGTTGCATGTCATCCCCCATTTTTCTTTCCCCTCACTGTCATCCCTGTACTGTATAATATCTAAACAACATATAAAACTTGATGGGTATTTTATAAGCTGCTGCTAGTGTTTCTAGTGTATTTACATGTGACTTTAGATCAGTAAATAAAGTAATAAATAAAAAGAGAGCCAGATTTACTGTGACTTTTGGGCCTGTTTTACATGCAATGTAAGTCACAGTTTGGGTTTCATTTATCAAAGTCCAAGGTGCATCTGCAATGGTCATTTTTGTGGGGAAAAGGAAAACAAGGGATGAACATGCTACTGGATGTTCCAGGGTGGTTATTCATAGTTTTCACGTGGCGTCACATTCCAAGGGAAACGCTCCTGCAGGGCAAAAAAGATGTTATTTTCCACTGCCTGCCAACCAATAATCAGTTGATACACTGTTACTTTTGCGTTGCCAGAATGCTGGATGGTTGTTGTGCTTTCGGATGCACTAATCGATGAGGACGAGCCTGGGCTGTGTTAGGTGAAGGATTCCCTAGAAGGTAAACGTAAACATTACCACAGTTGAGCGGCGGCCGGGACCAGGTGGTTCTCAACGGCAGAAATGTGGCAGCGGATGCTGTAATGTTATATGGATCAGATTTGCCCGACACTTGCAGTTTGTGTTCATATCTTTCTATTCTTAAGTTGAAAGGTGATCCAAATAAAATTTGACTGCTTTTGTGGCGTCTCTACGGTCGCAGTGTGAGCCACTATGTTGGTCTGTTGTTTTGCCCTCCAGGTCATTGCGCATGTCACATGACTGAAAACTATGAATAGAGGGAAAAGAAACACTGATTAGTAGGCTTGTATATAACTGATGACAACTAGTCATCATATTAGGTTATTAATAATGAACACAGTATCTGATTACTGTAATGTAAACAAATATGTGACAGAGAGTTCCAGTTTGTATTCATCAAACCTAAATTTGAACCATCAGTGAACTGTAAAATCATTACAGGCTGTGAATGCTTGTTGCTATATTTTGATAAGACAATTAGAGTGCACGTTTGGCCGCATTTAGCTCAGTATAACATCCACCATCACACCATCTGCTGCATTGGACCTGCTGCTCCGGCTCTCTCTCTTTCTGCCAGTTGCTGTGGTTGTGTATATTTTCTGCATGTTTGATTTGAATTACTATTTAGATTATAGTATAAGAGTTTTATCAGTAGTACTGTGAGTAACAGTTTTTCTCAGGTGAATCAAAGTAAATGTTTTGGTATCAAGATCAATACATTATCATTTCTTTCAGAGTTAACTGCACATACTGAGCTCTCCTCCACTCATAAAATGCGTTGTTGAGGGCAATACCAGGTAGGGCTGTTGCGATAACCGTGCAATTGAAATACCACGCTATTGGTCAAGCCTGACGGATGGCAAGCACCGCAACAACCGAATGTTCATAATTTACACTTCAGTGCGTGTTAAATTAATAAAGTAGTGCTTCAAAAGTTACACAACCATCATGAGCTCTGTAACGGTTCAAGGACAGTTCGCCATGAGTTATGCGTGACCTGACTTCAAACTTGGAAGCTGTAAGTGTTGGCGTGTTTTGTGTTTTACTGTTACTTGGCATTAGCATATTGAGAAGCTAATGTGGCTAGCAGGCTGGCGATGTTGGACTAACGTTGTGATCCTGAGTGACAGTCGAGAAACTGACCAGTAAGCCTCATTTGAAGCTCACTAACAAACGAGCGTAGTGTGTCGGACGCCTGCAGCTGTTTTTCATGTTGCTTTCTGTGGAAATGTAGTTCTAACGTTACTACAGCGCAGTGGCTAGTTGTGGACAGCCATTCTGCTCCGCACCGCTGTGTGCGCGCGTTGCTGCGGTATGTAAATTGACTTGATAGACTTGATGACTAGCACCCAGCAGCTAGCTTGCTCCGACCAAAAAGCTGCTGTTAGCGGCTCGCTGTGCAGTGAGGTGACAGACACTTTTACTCTGCTATATGGCACCAAATTACTTCATTGCCACACATTTACTAAAAACTCTACAGGACATTTGCACTCTTTACACTTTTTAGTAATCTGCTCCAATAAACCACCATCCCTACACTATATTTCTGGAAGTGTGGTGAAGAATTTGAAATGGCATTTAGGCCTCCAATTTACAATTTTAAACTAAACTAACTGTATAAACTAATGGCCATGTTTATTTATGTACACATTATTGAAAGAGTGCATCCTTTCATGTATATGTATGCTGTATGTGTGTTTAATAATGTTTGTGTCTTACCCAGTGGGGGGCAGTGTGTGACCAGAATGTCTGTGTTGTCGGGGATCTGGTTCCACTTGTCCAGCAGAGCCTGACCTCGTGGCAGGTTGAAGCCCCAGCCATAGTACCAGGGCTGCCTGCAGACACACACGCACACACACACACACGCACAAAGAAAGAGAGAAAACCAGACAGTTAGGTTAATACACTCACTGTCACATGTACAGACAACATTCTGTGCGATGTTTTGAACCTAGAATTCATCTCCCAGCAGCAGTCACATCATACATCTCACTCTCTCTCTATCCTCACTGTTAACCTAATCATAATTAATAATACTGCTAAATGAGATTGGAGAAAAAGGTAACACAGAACAGAAAACAGCAGGAGCTGCAGTGTAAGTGTGTTTATGGTGTGATGCTTATACAGATCAATTATAAGATCGCTGAATGCATTTCGTGGTCAGATGATGGATTTATTAGTGGTTTAGCTTTGGAAATAATGCTCAGATCACATCTCTGCTATCATAAAATCCTGTGTTTGGTTCATTTGCTTTCACACCACAAGCGAACCGCACCAGAGTTCGTTTGAAAGCGTGTTTGGTTCGCTTTTGGTGTGCACCTGAGTGCGACTGCTGCATTCAGACCTGCCCAAATTAACCGCACCAAGGGGGAAAACGAACTCTAGTGCGATTCAACCGAACTAAATGAGGCAGGTGTGAAAGCATCCAAAGTGGTCTTGGTACAAACACAAATGTTGTGAATTATGGTTTTGGGGAACACCTGCATCGCTAAACGATGGTTCGTAACATGTAAGTTGCCAACTTAGTTACCTCCATAGTTCCAACCAAGGAAGTTGATGCTTTTGGGAAACGCACCCCAAGATGGTGAGAAAGGCTACGGCTGAAATCTACCAGCAAACACTGACCCAGCTAATTCTCACCAGAAATTAAACATATTATCGAGTTGGTGTATGAATGTTTCTGTTTAAGCACTTAGGCTCAATGTTAGCACTTTGAGCAAAGACTAGAAAGGCGCTATATGGAGCATTTACGTTCCAGCAAACATGGGGTTGTCTTTCTGCCACTGATGTAGCCAATAGAGCAGTCAGTGTAGGTAAGCTCTGTCCTGAATGCTGCCAGACATTTATAAAGGAGCAATGTGTGTAAAGACAGAAAGTAGTGTGTAGCTGTGTTAGTAAAATAAATGGATTAAAAAATAATCTGGTCAAGTTTGGATTTATTAGGCTATGGCAACTTTATCGAGGAGAAGGGGCTACAGAGCTGGCACTCAGTTCAAGATGCGGCGACCTTCCGGGATGTGTGCGCTCTGGCCGGTTACCCTCCTGGATGCGGGTGGAAATGCTCCCCAGCTGCAGCGCCCCTGGTTGTCTCTACCCGTCGGAGGAGAACCTCTTCTGTCTCAGCGACATGCTGATAGAAACACGGACCTGCCACTACCGATGGTTACAGTGCTGTCTGACCAGCGACTGATCGAACTGGAGAAGGTCCTAATTATTGGGGACTTTAACCTGCATATTGATGATATCGCATGTAACACAGCTGCGGATCTCCTATCTCTCACAGACTCTTTTAATTTTACTAAGCATGTTTCTGGACCCACACACATTAAGGGTCACACCCTGGACCTTGTCTTCTCACTTGGTCTTGATATAGTAAATGCTTGTGTAGAAGATGTTCATGTGAGTGATCATAGCTGTGTGTTCTTTGACATTAACTTTCCTCTGGATCCTCCGCCCCTGGGAATTAGGGCTCAGAGGCGGATTATTAATCATGATGCTGCAGAGAGGTTCTCTGCCTTGTTTGACCCATGTTCACTGATGGGATGCAGTGATGCAGATGTTTTTATTCAGTCTTTTAATAATCAGTGTTCAGCAATTTTCGATAAAGTGGCACCAGTGAAAACAAACATTGTCTTCCATAAAAAATCTTGTCCTTGGGTTGATGAAACTATCCAGAGTTTTAGGAGAAATTGTAGAAAAGTTGAACATCTATGGAAATCTTCTAAACTTGAGGTTCATAGGCTTCATCTGAGAGAACTAAAGGTTACCTTAAACGAGATGCTGAGAAACGTGAGAACTCTCGTCTTTTCTCAGCTTATATCCTCGAATAAGCAAAATCCTAAAATCTTGTTTGACACTATAAATGCAATTGTTTCTCCTTCTGCCCCTCAAGCAACTATGTCCTCTAAATCTGACTGTAATGAATTCCTTCACTTCTTTGTAAGTAAGATCAGAGATGTTAGGGCAAACATCTCACCATCACTTACTCAGAACTCTGCATGTGACCTGTCTTCTGCTCATTCTTGGTCATATTTTAAACCTGTGACATTACAGGACATCACCTCTCTGCTACATACATTGAAACCCTCATCTTGTCCCATGGATGTTCTCCCTACTGTGCTATTTGTACAAGCGTTTGATTCTATTGGTCCCTGTATTGTGGATTAATACTTCACTTTTAACTGGTGTCGTTCCTTGTTTTTTTAAACATGCTGTTGTTAAGCCTGTACTTAAAAAGCCCAGCTTGGATCCATTACAACCTAAGAGCTACAGGCCGATATCCAAACTTCCATTCGTGTCAAAAATTCTAGAAAAAGTTGTAGCAGAGCAACTCACCCTTTTCCTAGAGAACCATGAGCTGTTTGACAAATTCCAGTCTGGTTTCCGTAAAATGCATTCCATAGAAACTGCATTACTGAAAGTTTCTAGTGACATTCTGATGTCAGCAGTTTTGGTTCTCTTGGACCTTTCTTCGGCTTTCGATACTATTGATCATAATATTATGATAAATAGATTCCATGATCTGGTTGGGATGTCTTTAGAAGTTTTAGTGTTTATGTAAATCAGATCATGTCTGAAGCTGCAGGACTGTCGTGTGGGTACCTCAGGGTTCTGTCTTGGGACCCATCCTGTTCCTTTTGTATATATATCCTCTCGGACAGATAATTAGTCAATTCAGTGACATATCTTACCATCTGTCTGCGGATGACATTCAACTGAACTGCTCATTCAAGGAAACTGAGTTCCATAAATTGTCTTCTTTAACTAACTTCTTGACCCGCATTAAACAGTGGTTATGTGACAGCTTCCTGCTTCTGAACTCAGAGAAAACAGAAACACTGATTATTGAAAGTAAAATTAAACAACATATAGTTGACTTAGGCTCGTCTGTCCAGCTGAGCCTCAGGAACTTAGGTGTTGTTTTTGATTCAGCGATGTCCTTAGAGTACCACTCCAAACAACTAGTCAGAAACTGTTTCTTCCAACTAAAGGAATATATCCAAATTAAGAACACTGGTGTCAAAGGGTGAGTTGGAGATGATCATTCATGCTTTTATGTCCTCTCGTTTAGATTACTGTCCTTACTGTCTTTTTACTTGTTTGAGCAAGAAAGAGCTTTACCGTTTCCAGGCTGTTCAGAACTCTGCTGCAAGGCTTTTAACTCACATTAACATAAGAGCTAACATCACACCTGTTTTAGTAGCACTTCACTGGTTACCAGTCCAGTATAGAATTCAGTTTAAAATCCTGGTCCTTACTTTTAGAGCCCTGCACGGTCAAGTTCCTCCCTACATCTCTGACTTGATACAGCTTCATACTCCGACCCATAGTTTAGAGGTTGTTAGTGGTTCCCTACACTCATTTTAAAACCAGAGAGGATCGTTCATTCCAAGCAGTGGCACCTAGGCTGTGGTATGCTTTGCCTACCTTTCTACGCTGTGTGAATTCTGTCTTTTAAAAAACAACTGAAAACGCTGCTATTAAAGCAGGCTTTTAGTTAAACGCAGGGTATTTCTGATTTTTATTCTATGTTTTCCATTTGTATTTAAATTTTCTTATGCATTGTATTTTACTTTGTTGCGTTGTATTACATTTTATTGTGACGCACTTTGTGATTTTTATCTGTGAAAGGTGCTATACAAATAAACTTACTTACTTACTTACTTATCGCTTTGCATACGGATATGGTAAATGGCGCCAGTGCTTACTCTGGTTCAGGAACAAGACCACGCCTCTCTCTCTCCCTAATCTACCGAGCTACACTCATTTCATCCACCTGTGCCTCTCTAATCTAATCACCTGCACATATGTACTATAAGCTTGTCTAACCCCTCTCTCCCTGTTCTCAATACCCCCTCCCCCCAAACCCCTTAATCCTTCCCCCCCTAAACCTTCTCGCAAACCAAAACTCACACAAATGATGATTGTCAAATCGTATTAAAGTTGACACATAATATTGACGCTTTTTTCTGTTTTCTTAACAGGACTTAGTTGTGCTTTTCTAACGGTAACCTTGTGAATTTGCTGCAAGGAGTGCTTCATGGTGAAAAAACTGCAGGAACACAAGACAGAGAGCAAAGACCATGAATCCAGCGTGGCCTCTCACTTCTGTCAGCCTTCCTCCTTTTAGTGTCTAAACTTGTGGTTTAACCTTTAAGATGAGAAGCTGCCCGGGGGGCTTATGAAGAGCACTCAGCTAGTGAAGGATGAGGGGAGGACTCAAACAGATCACAGGAAGGGGGGTGGGGGTGAGCACAAAGTTATATTAAACATCTCCTTGATCACAGTAACACCCTAGAACGCTCCACGACAGAAAGAGACGAGAGAAATGAGAAAAGAAGAGATGGAGAAGAAAAAAAAGAGGAGAATCTTGATGGCTGGGGCTCGTGTCCCTTTACTTTGATAGGGGACGCCTCGGCCGTGAGTGATGGAGAAGAAATTAACATGTCACTTACAATCTGTACTCCGATCCATCTTCCTCTCCAATGCTTGTGTGTGTGTGTGTGCGATCGTAGGCAACGCCGTGCAACTGGCTTTTTTTAAATTGCAGAGTGCAGTCACTCGAAACGCCAACTTTATCGCCATGGCCGCTGCCAGTGCTCAGTGGAACGTCAGATGAGGAATTTTAGAAGAGTGTGTGTGTGACTGCAGGGACAGATGGGGAGACAGGAAGACAGGCCTGAAGATGGGCAGAAATACATGTCACACATACACCGTCTCCTTGTCCGTCTCTCTAATTAAGAAAGCTAAAAATGGGACTCTGAGGTCACCAGCACAGGGAGGGGTGGTCAAGCACATGTGGCTGTGCATCATGGGAAATCACGTCCTATTTCAG